ATCGGCAATATGTAAGTATAAGAATTGCAGTCATCAATAACAATAAATTATTCAAGGAATGATATGGTCAATAAATAATGAATCAACAGAATTGAATTGTAAGAGAATTTAATAGCTGTTCGACACGAGACACGACACTCAACAGCTGAGATTTCGAGTAGCACTGTGAAGTGACCCCGATGAAAGAAGTAAGAGAGATAGAATGAAGATGAAAAGAAGAAACGAGAAGACCAGCGGGAGTCCGTATTACAGCTCATTTAGCAGCGGGATTCTGTGCCCCTTTCGATTCTTCCCAGGGGTACCAAGAAACAGGTCTCAAGACCTACAGCGCCGTCCAACTTAGAATCCTGTGGCTACGTTCTCATACCGCCATTGTATAACAGATCGTTCCTTCTACATTTGTACTCAAGTTGAACTTTGATATCGATTTTAGATCAATGACCTATTCAATACATTACAAGTTTACATTTTATTTGCTTTCTTATTGCCAAGTATCATTTTACACTTGAAAAACATCTACTTTTCATTTTTTATTTCTACCTTTTACTAAGCTTTTCATTCAATAAATTTCATTTTGAACTCAATACAATTCAAGACTATCTAATCTCTATCATACATTAATTAATTAATAATTATTTATTTATTGCTATGTAATTTTACTTTTAATAAATATAAAATTGTTAAAAGTAGTAATAGTCAATTTAGATCCGACATCCCTTGAATTAGAATTTTCATATCAGTGAAAATTCTTGCAAATCAGTGAATATACACTGCTTTTCAGTGCTAATCTGATTACTGATTCAGCCAGTTTACTCTTAAAAAAAAAAAACCAGTAAATATTTACTGTAATTGTCACTGATTCAGCTGGAAAGAGCTTTTTTTTATACCAAAAAAATTATTCCTCATAATAAAATATAATAATTAAAATGTCTCTAGTCATTTTATCTTTCAAATGCTTTCTGCTGCCATAGTGATGAGCCAAAACCCCAAGGTAATCTAAACCTAAACATATTTTTTAGTGTGCACATAATATCACAAACAAAACAAAAAAATTATCTGACACAAGTAAATTTACATTAAATAAAAAATAATCTATTTTACCACAAGCTAAAAAAAATGATATTATGGTAATATTTAGTGAGAAGTGTTTCTAATTAATCTGAACTCTATTCACAATTGAAAGGTGACAAATAGTATCCACCAATTGAGGAATATAGTAATAATACTATAATCATTGCATGACTAATTTATATATTTCAAAGAATGATCAATAGAATAAATTAGTTAGCAGTTATAATAGAGAAATACAATGAATGTGACAAAGTTATTTTAATTTCAATGAAACATATTTTATTCATTCGTCTGAAATATTAGTGTTAATTTGTCAATCATTCAGTGAGCATTTTCTAAATTTCATTTTCATCTTTTGATCCTTTAACTCTCAACCTTTTCAAACTCAAATATTAAAAAATAAAAAAATATTATTTAAAAGCAAATCATTACACATTGCTTGACATATGTATTTTTAGACTGAATAATTTTACTCTTTAAAATTGAATTAGTAAATTAGTTATTTCAAGCCCATTTACTAATTAAGTCAGTAATAATCTTGAAAATTCATTTCAGAGTCATGACTTATGATTATTCACTGAGCAATGCTACAAATAGTAAATATTCCCTAGCAAATGTTATTTCTAATAGAATAAATATTGTTAATAAAAAATAAATTATTTTTTATTGTTGTTGGAGTATATATATATTCATTGAAAAAAAGTCTTCAACTCAAATGAATAGACTCAAACAATAAATGATGACTTGGTATTATTGGCTTATCGAGAATGAATCTGGCATCAGACATATTAAATTAATTGTGGAAGTTGAAGCACGATGGAAAGAAGCTGACTAAAAGAATGACGAGATAGCAAAGGTGGTAGAGATTAGGCACAGGCTAGATGGAATGAAAGAAGCAAAGAAACCCACAGAAAAGGAGTCAGAGAAGCTGCATTCCCTGGTAATTAGTTTCACCCATAAATTACTGGCCATTCCATGTCTTTGTTAGGCCACGAGTCCATACCAAGATCGTTTGCTTCCATCTCATCTCCCCTTTTTTTTTTCTTTGCTTATGTTTCGATTTTTGTTTATTTATTTATTTATTTTTTTTTTCTACTCTACAGCTATGCAAAATTTTCTTTCACTCTTTTAATTTGTGCATACTTTTGGTGTGACTTCAGGACGACTTCGAGCTGTAGGGTAGTGTAAGAAATGCAAGATCATCAATATCAAACAGAGGGTGGTAATTTAGAACCTCTGTGAATTCATTGGACCTTGAAGATATAAGAAAAAAAGGCTTTTTTGTTGCAGATGTTTTATTGTTTCTTTTTTTTGTGGAATTAAAACATTAGTAATAATGGATAGTGTTGAGGATACTTCAGAGGTAATATTGCAGTGATACTCTAGAATTTTTTTTCAATATGAATAAAAATCTAGAAGTGTTCTAAATTGTAAAGATGTCTAGAAATTCTTTACAGGACTGCAGAATTTTTTTGAAGAGATTAGCCTTTAAGTTTATCATAATTCTAAGAATTTATCCAGAATTTTTTCTAATGCCAAGTCAAAGTCTAGAAGTGTCTTAAAATTTTTCTAGACTTTTCTATCTAACATTAATGATTCATGAGATGATGGAATAAATGAATGAATCCAAAGCTCATGAACCCTCTCTTTGGCAATCATAGTTATCACTACGATGAAAATGTTACCTCATTTATTTCCTTCCCTCGAAGTCAGTCTCACCAATTTCCATCCTCCAACATGCTCCTCTGCTGGAGCAGGTTCTCAGGAATTCACAATTCACGCCGGCGACCCATGTCCAAGTGAAACGTATAAATGGCGTTTAGAGATGGCAAAGTAGTGAGAACGAGGAAGCTAAAGTGAAAGGTTTGAATATAGCCACACACCTTGGCAACTAAGGCAAAGAGGTCCTCGGGCTACGCTAAATTAGGGGGTCAACACTAACTTTAAAATGATCGTATGAAAGTGCGAGAAAAAACGATGGAATCATTATAATCATCGCTTCAAAATGTTGACCTCTGGACTTCGGAAAATCACCCGTGGGAAACATTGATGTTGATCCAAAGGATTACTTCTACCTTTTAGGACATGAAATGAAGGAAAAAAAACGTTGATTAATTTATCAGTGTGTGAAACAAAATATATTTAGTGTTTTTTTATTAAAAGGGGGGACACAGAAAAAAGTTTAAACTTTTTTCCTCATTCGATTATACAATAGAACAATTTAAGCTATAAATCTAATCCGTTATATTACATAATTATAAAATTGTAAAATAAACCGCCTTTATCTTTACCTTTTTATGATACAGCTTGACAAGCCATAACACAACGTCGTTTAACATTTGTTATAGTTGAGTGACTCTGAAGACACGGTTCATGATATTCTTAAGAACAAGCTGCTTTCTATATTCCATATAGTGAGTTAATATATATTGTTTTATGAAGGAAGTTTGAGTTTTAAGTTCATATTATCTTAGAAACAAAAGTCAAGAAAAGAAGACATAAATGTACTCCAAGTGAATCTTGCTAACATGATATAATGTTAAGTTATCGTGAGTTAAAAGTAAAACACAAAGTATTTGCAATATGGATTTAATATAACGACTCACGTCATGTCATGAAATTTTATTTCGAATCAGACTAGCACGATCGAGAGAGGTATAGGGATCGATTGTCGTATCAGTTAGACTGTACGAGAAATCTCCAGAGTATGTTGATGTGGAGCAAGTCACGAATTTACATTTTTACATCATTTTTTTATCACATAAAAATGTGTTCTAAGTGGTTTTTAACTGGTGAATGTTCTAGACTTACCTACTAAACAAATAACAAAAGTCATGTTGACAAACAGGTTACATATTTCGTTGCTTTTTTTTCTTATCTTTTAAACCATTTAATAGCTAGGAATAATTATTTCATTGTCAATCTAAAGTCATCATCATCATCATGCATTGACAGTTATCATGTTCCTTAACATTATTTCATCATCAACATGTTGCTGGTTAAATTCACCAACACCTGGACCCATAATATTTTTTCAACTAATTTCATGCTTTTAAAATGTCGACAAATATTTTTGTTATTTTATTTCTCCAATTATAGATGATCAAGTCTAGCTATAAGGTTATTATTCTTCCAAAAAAGCTAAATGAAAATAAATGATTTTAGACTAATTATTTTGATCGATGATTGATTATTTCAAGACGTACATTTAAGATGCCTGATAATACTAGGCCACCTGGATGATGGTAATGATAATATATAGCCTATTACTTTATTGATGCCTAATAGACCCCAAATTTCGTAATGAGTTACTTTATAGCACACTAATTTAGATAATAGACCATAAGAAATAAATCTTTTATTTTTCATTTCACTAAGAGATTATGCTGAGACTTTGATAATGATGATGATTTTTTTTTCAAGAAATCTGGTGGTCTAATTTTATCTAAACCAATTAAAGAATATAATAAAATAATATCAAGACTCTAGAGCATATATTCTAATCAAAGTTCATCGAGAAGAGAGTGTTGAGATGCTTTGGGGGAAATCACCAAGCCAAAAAACCACCAGGCAGTGATATAAACGAAGAAGTAAAAGCAACCGCAGCAAGATGGGAAGGTGCGACGCAAAGATGGGTGGTTGCAATGGTGGCGCGGTACCTCTGGCATAATAACAGAGTGGCGGGTCTGCAGTTAGCTGATGACTTCATTGAACCCGTCGCGGCGGGATTCTCGGGCCGCACCAGGACCTCCCTGAAACCGCCTCAAATTATAACGCCGACGAGTAGAGCCTTGGGATCTTCTTTTGATGGGTTTGAGACACATTTAAAAGAATGAGGACCAACATTTTTTTCATCCTCAAGGTGTTGTACCGTTACTGATCACACTATACTTACTTAATTATCCTTGAAAACTGATGTACCCATTTTATGCCATTATCCTCAAAATATTATATTGATTATCATCAATAATAGTTTTACCCAAAGGACCCATTCTTGAAGATACTAATCGATGTAATTATTTCATTAAGAACTGGCCATGCCTTGGTAACATATGGCATCATTTATGAAATATATATGACCAATTTTCCTCATATCATACATAAATTTTTTTCCTCCGAGGTGACAAGTATTTACATCCTTTTTTTTGATATCCATAGACGAAAGATCCCTCCTTTTAAATATTATCCTACAAAAAATTCAGAAATTTTAGATTGTTTAATTTAAACTACATAAAGAGAATTTTGGGGTAAAAAATTTACCAATAAAATGGCTTGAAATATTTACCCTGCAATGAATTAACTAGAGAACACGACAACTGTACTAGATTAATTATTTCAGAGCAGAGTAATTTTTATCATAGAGAAGGGTAAAAAATTACACCATTTCGGTATAAATTTTACTCTTCTTATGTAGCAATATTTACCACTATTATGAAATAATTTTTTTACCCTTTATGAGTGTAAAATTACCGCACTTTTTTTTTGAAGAAATCGTATTCCAGAAAGATCCAATTTCGAATAAAAGAGTCAATCGAATTTTGATTGCTCAATCACGAAACCTTTGACACAAAAGTCTTTTCTCCAAATCGCAGGCAGAAAATTCTTATATACATGGGGTGTAAAAAAATAATAGCTGTAGAGAGTGCGATAAACTGTAAGATGGGGCGTGGTGGTAATTAACAATCCATTTTGTATTCAGCTCACCTGATCGCAACGTGTGCGGTCCATGACGTCATGATTTGGAGCTTCTTCGCCAACGTATCCGCCTCCTTAATATGAGCCCCAACACCTTGGTCTTGCGATCCAGCACGCACCGAGTCTTACCCAGAGGATGAAAGGTGGGTATCTTAGTCCAATACCGTAAGTACTATACATCAAATAAAGACGAATAGATTGTCCAGGTGGATAGCAGTAAGTTAGAGAAGGAAACCAATATGTTGGCTTGTTGGGTGAGTTGATGGTATATATAGCCCGAAAGTAGCCAAAGGGGATATAATAGTCTCTCGACTGGACTTCACACGATGCCGACATACCAACTCAGAAGATGATGATACAGACCTCCAGAGGAAAGAGAGTTTCAGTAAGCCGAGAAGCATTGATTATCATGGACTTGGTCTTTCTTCTTGCCTATCTGCTTCCGCTTTCAGCTGGCCGATTTCCCAAACGGGAAAATGACTAATTAAAATACCTACCACGTTGGAGAAAATTAACCTTAACATGCTTATGATGTTGTCATGTATATTAAGACTTGTTTAAGCATGTAGACACCAAACTCAAAGAAGGTAAGAAAAAAAAAAGAGTACCACCTAAATGTGTTCCAATTATTTGTTGGATATTTTTTCACCTTACATTTCTTAATGTTGAATGACTTTTTATTTCCTTAGGCTCTTGTTCTCCTGCCTCATCATCCTCTACCTCTTACCACCTTTACAACTATATTAGCACTATAATTATTACAACTGCTTGTCATATATACAAGCCAACTTCCTTCCCACTGATAACTATCTGTGGGATGACAATAGAACAAATAAGTGGACATGATTGAACCTCTTGCTGTCATAAACATACCCTATGATGCATCAACTATATCCACTTATTTTAAAACATAAATAAAAAATTTAATCCATTGTTTTTATGCTTTTGTAAAGGTTGGATTGAACAGGAAGTCATACAGGATTGGATTATCCTCAGCAAGTTGTTTCTTGGACTATGTTGGAGTGATCAACTCTAGGGAGACATGTGTTGTTGGTTGGATCCTACATGGAAGTGTATCTAGACACGATGTTTATCCTGATTTTTATATTTGGAGCCAAAGGTGATCAACATTCATGGATAAATGGACTTCTTTTTCTGCAGATAAAAAAGGTATATGTTATTGATGATTGTTAGAATAATATTTGGTGGATTGATGAAGAATTATTTGCTGGTGATTTTCTTTTTTTTTTCAAGAAAGATTAAATAGATAGTTCAAAAGTAGTGGTAAGTGTTGCACAATCATTACATCATGCCATGATTCATGAAGAACTTCAAACAGTATTTAGACAACTGCTTTGTTGTTTACAAAAACTAGCATCCAGAGTGTAATACATCATCTACAGGAATACTGATCTGAGTCACTCGTTAGCTACATGTAATTTAGTTAATTAATATTTTAATAATAAATAATAAAAAATAATTCATAAAATTAATAAAATTATAAATTATTTTATTAATTGATAATTTTATTTTCATTTAATAGTTTCAACATCATCCATGACAGAATTAATTAATTAATTAACACTCACTTCTGATGTAAACTAAAAAGTAGATTGAAAAATATTATTTAATCAAACTAAAACATACTAACCTAAAAGATCTGTTTATTCAAATAAATATATGCAACATTCTTTTGTACAGAAATAAACTCTTTCTTCAAAAAATTTTCCTCGACTTTTTCAAGTAATTTCTATCCATTCTCTTCCAGTCATGTGTTATGGCTTTAATGCGATCGATGATGAGGTAGAAAGTCCGTTGAGAAAATAAAAGAAAACATAAACTCTTTGTCGATTATTTTCGTTACAGGATGCATTACATCGATAATCGCTGTTTTCCTTTTTTTTTGCTTCTTTCAAGTTTTTTTTTTTTCTCGAAAAGTAGAATTATCGTCTAAGCCTTAAGATCACTCGCCGACATAACCTAAAACGGAATTATTTGTAATCGACCGGATAATTCCATTGATCCGTTTTACAACCACTCACCATATGAATATTTTTTTTTTCATTCATCTGTTTCAATGAATAGATTACCCCTCGAATGCACTTCAAACATCTGCAACATTAGCTCTCAAATGCCACCTATTAGCCATTTATGTCTAATGTTATTATACATTTTTCACAATGAGAGTCTACTTGATTTTATTTTATTGTGCAGATTTGAATAAAGAAAAAAATCTTCTCTTCTGTTGAATGGTCTAATTTAATTTCAAAACTTTTTTAAGGACCAAAAATATTTTAAGGCCCATAGCGGACTCCATTCAATCCTTAATTGCACATACGCAATATTCTAGATATATATGGGTTTCGATTGATTAAAAAATGAAAGTATTCAGTCTAATATGGCCTTAAAAAATATTTTGGGACTTAAATTAGATATACGAGGGGTCGAAGAAATAATTTTTACATAAATTGGGTCCATTGTAAGCCTAAAAATAATTTAGACTCCAATTATGCATCAAAAATATTTTTAATTTACAATTGAGCCTTTCATATGAACTTAAAAAATATTTTTGTGCTTAAATTATGTGTATTAATTGGGCCTTTTTACATTTTAGCCATGTTTTGGATCACTTTAAGGCCCATTTGGTTTTACTCGATATATATATATTTATCATTCAGGGTCATTTAGATTTTTTAATCATCCTTTTTCTTGAAGAAAAAATTAGAGTTGAGTTATTTCCCATCAAATGACCACCTGAAATAAATATTTATTCCATAGAGATAAAAATATAAGGTGAAAAAAATCTATATATATATACGTACCAGACAAACATGCAATAAAACTTGCGAGATTTCTAAGTGTGAATCATTGGTCATAAAAAAGAGTCTTATCAACAACTTTAAACATCATTACAATAGAAAATAAAGAAGAAATAAATGAAATATGAAGAGGAAATGTAAGACAAAAAAATATTAAACTATTATTTCAGTATCCACAGGGGAAAAAAAAGTTATGTGTTGGGGACTCAAAGAATTTTAACAGGGACAGCATAAAGCAAACTCTCTAGATGAGGCACGTGGGAACAGCCAACTCGTCATCTCAGCTTGCCTCTCAATCTAACACACACTTGAGTATAATCCAAACGCAAACACGAATAATCCCAAAGACTTTTCACTTCCGTGGAAACTGTAGGCAAGTCAGAGCTTGTGTATTTGAACAGTTTAAAGACTTACTATAATAAGTAAAATAAGAGTGATGAGCATCCTCTTAGGAGACAGAGATGGTCTTATTGTTTGATTAGATGTCTTTGGGTTCAAGTCCTTTTAGAATATTTATAAACCCTAAAAAAGATAAATAATTTGATTATTTCTGAATAACAATTTAAAAAAATTAATTTAAAAAATTACCCTTTAATTGGATTTATTTTAAATAATTGCTGCTGTCAGAAAAATATTTATTTTTATTATTGAAGTATCTATTTCACTGACAGCATGTTTAATTGAGCATTCGTAATTGGTACAAGCTACTTACTATTTTTTTTTTCTTCTTCAAAATAAAATAATCCTCTTTACAAATTTTACTCAAAATGCCATGATATATTTGTCTTCATATTTTTGATGTTTCTTCCTCACAATTTAATGTAATAATTTTTATTATTACTTGCGGTAGTTTTTGATCTCCTGATACATTTTTTTTTATTTACTACGTTGAAAAAATTTTTATAATTGTAAAAATTCTGAAATGAATAGTAAAAATTATTATGATTCATGTATTTTTACTTTGTCAATTTAATAACAACTTGTCATTTATATCTGAATTATGAGAGACATCATTTTAATTTTAATAATTAATTTTCTCTTGATTTGAAATAATAATATAAATAAATGAATGCGTAGAATAAAATATAAATAATGAAAAGAATAAATAATAATAATAATTAGAATAATAATAATAATAACAACACATAATAAAATAAAATAAACAATACAAATGATAGAATAATAAACATAATAATATATTTTCATTATTTGTTTAAAAAGAATTATTATTATTTATTAAATATATATTAAAAAGGATTATCAATATTATTTATACATTATTTATTATTATTATTGTTAAACATTATTATTATTGTATATTATTGTCATTATTATTATTTATTTTTTATAAAAAATATATGTAAAAGTTGAAACTACAAAAATAAATGAAAATTTATTAAATTATTTATTGTTTTTCGAAAAATTATATCTCAATAAAAAACGATCATAAAAAAATTTTAGAATAAGCATTTTGAATCTCTGAATGCACACTTTGATAACCCGTTGGCGAAAAATTTTTATAAAATCAGATTATCGTGCAATCACAAGAAATAGAGCAATACAAAAATTTTCTATTTCTTTTTTTTTTTTTTTAATTCAAAGGATTGGAAACAATATTTCATCTGTTTTTTTTCCTGAAAATTATAAGTAACAAAAGACGACTATTTAATCCCCAATTTGAGACACAAAAGGGTTACTGGGAAGGATATAACTGGTGACTATAATGATGAAAATCAACAAGAAAAATGGAGCTTAACTGAAAAATTGGTAGAAAATATTAATGCGATTATTGAGACATTGGTAGGTTGTTTAAAAATTTTAAGCTCGTCAACTTTTAGTCAACTAGTAGTTTATTTTAACAACTTAAGAAAGAATAGGTAAGAAAAAGCTAGTTTTTTTCACAGATTTATGTCGAATAAGTTTCAAAGGAAAAAGAAGATTTATAAAAGCTGTAACTTCAATATTATTGTAAATATTTGAATCAATAAAAAAAAGAGTTGACTATTGGGAAATAAAATATTTGAATTGATTGAAAAACAATCATTCTTATTCACAGTGAAAAAATTATAAATAGAAAATAAATTATTATTATTATGACTTTTCTTTCTCAAAATTCAATTGTCATGATTTCAACCACAAATAATGATTATTTATGGAAACAATAAATGTTTTGTTCATCATTCTCTTAATTAAGGCCAATCAATCTCAAATACCAATTAAATGAGGTCTAAATATGAAGGTAGATTACATCGTAAATGCTCATTTGTACCATCGCCTTTCTCAGTAGACGCTGAAATCGGGCGTTTCAGTAATTAATTTGCAATTAGTCTCTGTGTGTTACCTGGACTGAGATCATCAGAGATTCCAACGAATTACTCCTAACTAGTTTCTGCCTTTTTTTTCATCTCAGAATAGTCAGACATTACTGCTCAGTTTTTTCCAAAACTTCTCTCTATTTATATTATAAAATAAAAATAAATGAATTCTGAAGGTGACTGTAATAAAATCTGAAAAAATTATTCACTCGTTAGTAATTAAATACTTTATAATAAATTTATTTTGGTTAAACAATAAAAATTAATGAATATTAAAAATATTGAAATTTATTAGACAATTATAGGTTATGTACACTTACGTGGGACATTGGACGATAACCCAATTATTCACCATTTCCTTTGATTAGTTTCTAAACCCTTTTATTTGTGAAAGAAATAGGCGTGTCTGCGACATCTGTATGCTTTTTTAAAGCTCTTTATCCTACTGTGTAATATAATAGGTAATGATAGGGTACATTATATATTACAAAAATCTCAGAATGGGTTTTAAAAATATATCAAAGACCCGTATGATGAATTTCACCTTTCCTTTTATTATAATTAAAAGCATATTTATACACAACTAGCCTTATTGAGATTCACACAATTCAACAATTGAATCACCAAATACCAGTGTGACCAACTACCAGTCTCTTGTACTTGTAATGATACGATAATGACAACCGTTATGCAAGTGAAGGGATGAATATTATAATAGGCCAATTCTCCGATTCTTTTTGGAATTTTTTTTTCCAGTTAACAATTTTTTTTTATCCATTTATTTATTTAAACACAAACCTAACCTATTCGAGACTAACATTCCCGCCAAAAAATTTAGCTCAATTTATTTCAATATGGCTGCCTGTGGTAGAATTTGGTTTTATGCAGTCCCAATTATGTTTTCTGATTAATTAATTAAATAAATTATATTGTTGAAAATAAATAAAAATTGAAATGAAATAAATTATTTTAATTTAAAGTTACAAAACAAATAGTTGAGTTTTTCTTTTTATTTTCGAGAGCAGTCACTTAGAAAGAAAAAAAAAATAGAAAAAAGTGATCTTGAATGAAGCTACTTAGAGGACAGTGTTTTGAATAAATTAAAAGCGTCACATGGCGCCAGACACTGAGCATCACCTGACAATTTCAAATATTTGACGGATCGTTCTCTAATATTTGAAGATCCATGATTTCCTAAATGAACTCATTTCGTACTTCATTTCCTCTTGGAAATTCAGAGAACTATTAAATTACAAACCTTAAGAAATGAATATTAATTTAAAAAAAAAAGGTAAGTAAAAAACACTGAATAAATAAAAAAGTAATGTTGATTAATTAGCAAGACTATAATCAGTGTACTCACCATTCGATTTCGATGTAAATATTTTCCAGATTGATAGTAAAAGCGATAAACAATCCAATAATGGACATTTTATGTTAATTCAATGGAATATTAACAGAGAAAAAAAGAATCAATTATTTTTCATGGAATTTTCACAACTTGATTTATGTAAATGAATAAAGTGGTTGTTCCACACATGGGTTGGCGTAAAAAAATATCAACAATAAACGTAAATAACAGGCTAAGTAAAATACAGCAATAATATGTAAGGTAATCGGTATACATACACTTTCTAGAAGCTGCTTAACATGATTTCGTCGTTAGCCATTACCACAAGTAAATAACTCGGTGCTGTCACTCTCATACGAGCTATGATTCCAAGAAGAAGAGTGATCGGAGACAAGCTGGATCACATCTTGGCAGTGATGATGATAAAGATGAACCAGGAGCACAGCAATAGATCTCCAGAACTTTATTGATGATATTTTTCTGTTCAGTGGTGATAAATTTGTGATAAACCTCCTAGATCTCTTTGGCTTAGAATGCTTTTCTACCAACAGACTGGAACAGTTGATTGTGAATACAATGAATGAACAGCTACAGTGTTATTATAATCAACGAGTCTTTGATTGGGAGATGGTAAGCCTCTGCAAGTGAGGTAGAAGTACCAGTAGTACTTCTACCTCACGTTGAAGAGCAGTTGAACTGAAAAGGTAGCAGTGAAAATAAATAGAAGAAAGTGCACGCATGACTGATCGACTTCAGTGATGACCAGGACGTCCAGAAGAAGAACAGTCAGTCGTCGATAGATGGACGGATATTTCAAATCCGCATCAAATAAAACTGTTATAATAAACACTGCTGTGAAATGATTTTTTTTTAATTTTCATTGAAAATATTAGGCTGTTTATTCATTGGAGACTTTGCTTTATTTTTCAATATATTTGCTGCTATCAAATTAATCAGCAGCAATTAGTTACTTCTGATAAAATGTTAATAATAAATAATGAAACAATATGTCAAAAAGTATGATAAGAATTTGTTGAAACATATAATGAGGTAGTTTATTTGAATCCACATGGAACAAAGTGGGTACTGAGAGATTAGAAAAGAGTCTCTCATCAGGAATGCATTATTAAGGCATTCCTGGCGTAACATAGATGCTTTGTTACCCTTCGACATACGAGAATTGAAGTTTCATCCCATGTTCAACCACGACGTTCTCATAACTTTCAAACTCTCTGACTACATTTTGCTCGGCTGCCATGAAATCGTTTGAATTACCGCAAGCTACTACGTAGTAATATCGGCATTCTTATTCTGCCATTTTTTTTTCTACATAAGGTTGATGAAATTTCGAGGAAAGTAGCGAAATAATTACCGGAGCCTAAATTGTTGTTTCAAATATGTGGATCAAGTTGGTATGCTTGTGTCGCAAGTCTTGTCTAGACTAATTTATGGCAATTAATATTGCAAGTAGAAATACTTTGATCACTACCTTCCAATAATACACTGAGAAAAAAATTTACTGTGAACTAGAATGATTAAGCTAAACAATTTATTTAATGAATAATTATTATCTCAAATAATTAAACATCATTTGTATTTAGACTTAGTATTGAACCAAGTGACAAGATACCTTTTCCAATCAAAATATCATTCAATCAAATCAAATATTTTTTTTAAAAATGATATAAAAATAATATTATCATAATTTATTGACTAAATAAGCTGAAGAAAATGAGGAAAGTATAATTTTAAAATGAATCACAAGTTTGCACACATTAATGTTAACCAAATAAATGATTTCCTGCTTGTCAGACACACGACAAATTTTTTGGAGGTAACGAAAATGGGATACTGGAGATTGCGTGGGGCCCAAGACCAAAGTACATGATATAAATATTCATGTGTAAATATCAAGATATCATATAAATGATAGTTGAGCTCCGAATTGAACGTAGCGATTGCTTTCAATTAACTTTCAACTACCTAATTACTATACATGGATGTTTAACCAAATGGATGCTGCTGATTACCATGATCGTTGCGTATATCTTAATTGTTATGAGTTTTTCGTGTTCTTGCATTTAAGCCACCAGAGCCTCCAGGCTTGGTCCTGGTCTATGATACCACCTCATGTCTGGACTTTTATCCAATACCATACATCTATATTTAGATATCTGTAAATAATCATTTAAATTGTATTTTCAAATCCAATGTAACAATTTCATTCTGAATATTATTTATCAATTTAATATTGAACAGCTAAAAAAAAAAAAAAATGATAATTCAAGTATTAAATTTTATTTTAAATTATTGAATAGTTTTAAAATTATTATTGTTAATATTTTAATTATTTCTAATGATTCTTTTTGATTTAAAAATAATTTTAAGACTAATACCATGTATATAATTTGTTAAGCCATTAAATGCTTTGTAAATAAGTAATAAATTGAGTAAGAATGTCTGAAATTCGATTTTTCAATGTTAAAAAGTAGAAATAACGGTTTTTGTTCCGTCACTCCTTCAAATGATCACTAATTTACTTATTGAGAAACGCGTCGTTTTTTGTAAAACTTAAGATATCTTATCTACTGTTCAAAGATCGTTAAAATTCTAGTATGTGACGTGGATTCACAGAATTAAGTTATGTACGAAATGATGGAATGAATATAACCAATATCACAAGATATTTACAGTTCTTTAAATAAAGAGAAAGTATTTATTTTAATAAATAATTTCTCTATTTTCAAAATCAAGCTAATTATTTTATTTAACATTCATTAAACCTCTACTATGACGTCTTAATATTAAAAAAACATTTTGTAAAATAATAATAATAAATATTTTTTTTATTTATTTTATTTAATAATTTATTTATGCAATGACGGTTATGGATTTCTAACTTTGAAGTAAAGTAATTTTTTTATGCCATTTAAGTGCAAAAATTGCATTTTTCCAGGGTACATTTTTCCCCTTATTATGTAGGTATATTTACTATTGTTATGAAAGAATTTTAACCCCACGTACGGTTAAAAAAAATTACTTTATAATAAGGGTAAATATTACCACATAAAAAGGGTAAAATTGGTCCTTGTGTAGAGTCAAAAAATAACTTTACATCAAAGTAAAAACTATCATAGTCATTGTTTCCCTCTATCACTTTACTAACGGGTAAATTTTTCCCCATAATTTGAAACAATTTTTACCCCAAAATTTTTCCTGTGTAATTAATCAAATTAAATACACTTACCTTCAATTTAAATTTTGCCATCTTACTACCCACTTATTTCAACTGGAAACTATATTTTACCTCTAAATTTTTCCTGACATTTTAACCTAGAATCTTAATTGAGATACGAATAATTGCACGAAAATAAATCCAATGAATAAAAGAATTATTCAATTAGAACATTCTCGTAATCTCTCAGTGTGTATTACATGTGTCTATTTAGTATGTACATATCAAAATACATATACATGAACAAAATGCAATGGGGATGGTTCGGCATTGTCGTTTGATCTTCATACAATCACGTGGCACTCGGCAGTAGGGACAAGTTTTGTATTTAAAACACACACGTAGATATATACCAAGCTAATTGCTAATTAGGCATATTGATTCAATCATTGCAGAATAAGAGTAAAAAAAATATTTTATTCATCATTCATCTTATCTTCTTGGGCTGATTTATTACCAAATTTATCTCCATTAATGTCATCATTAGACTAATTACATACCAATGGTAATCTGGAGGTAAAAAAATATCTCTTTTCAACTCTAGTATCGGTTAATATGTAATGTTCATTTGTTTATTTGTATAAATAAAAATGTAATAATTGTAGATGAAGGTAACAATGTTGCTCAGATGAAGCTCAATCACTTTGGAATCTCTAGAGCGGGGATTGCTCCTCCTACTGGACCAAGTCACGTGATACATTGAATCTTCTTCTCCTATGCGCATTCAAGGGGTGCACTTGCATCCCCTTTCGATAACAACAAGCATTTTTAAACCAATAAATATTTATTTTCCCCTTCTCTGAAGAAATGATTGTTATAAATTAATCAAATAAATGATGAGATTTTATTGGCTTTTTGTCAATGGAGTCAAAAATAATTATTAGAGTTACAAAGGAATGATTTGGTCGTTAAAAATCATCATTCTAAATACTTTTATCCACCCCTCAGCATTTTTATTTATGTCCTAACATTAACAATGAGAGGATGTTTATTGTCTGAGCAACGTTGATCTATTCTACTTGGAAAAAAGGAGATAAATGAGTAAAAAAATTCCAAAGGAATTGAAAAATTGTGTAAGAAAAATTCTAAGAAGTGGAAGAGAGTACAGATGTGTGTAGATTTTTTTTTAAAGGAAAATTTGATTGGGAAATTTTTTTTAAGGCTTTGCATGAAATGGGAGTTATCGTCCTTGGTGTATTGAGGTTGATGAAAGATATTTTATTCGTATATAATTTTTTTAAGGTGTTTGGGGTTGTAGAGGATAGTTTAGAGAATATTTTGAGCCCAAGACCAGGTTTTTAGACACATTTTTCGTTAAGATATGAATGATCAAAGATTAAATAATCTCTAGCAAGAAAACCTATATATCCTGTTTTCATATTTTGATTTGAAAAAAATATTTTATCTAGAGATTAATTTTTTCTAGGCATTGAGTGTCATAGAGGACAGTTTGAAGAACATTTTGAGACCAAAATCAGATTTTTAAACCCATTTTTCACCAAGATATGAATTTTTATAGACTAGACCACTCCTAGCAACAAAACCTACATGTCTTTTTTTGATATTTTGATCTATAAGAAATCTTTTATTGGTAGATAATTTTTTTTAAATATTTAGGGTTCTAGAAGATAATTTAGAGAACATTTTGAGCCCAAGATCAGATTTTTAAACTCATTTTTCACCAAGATATGATTGACCAAATATCAAACACATTCTAGCAAAAAATCAACATCTTTTCTCCAACTTGTTTTTTTTTAACAAAACTATGAAATTTGAGCAATATCATATCAAATATCATAACAACCCTTAGACAAAAGTAAGAACAATGTAGATATCAAAGTCCTTAAAGAGTATTCTTACCCTCCCAAAAGCCATAGAAGATAATGTTGGTGGAATATGGTGGTGGAGGCTTGGCTATCAGTGGTCGCGGTGATGACGGTGATGGTAGTGGTAATGCTGGCTAACACTGGTGGGGGAGTTGGTTCTCCGTCACTCTCCACTCCCTGTCTCTTTTCTCTCCTATGGGAGAACGAGGAGGCTTACTCAATGTGCGCATTGCGCACCGAGGTCCATCATAGAAAGATCTGGCTGACAGCTCGAGTTGTGTCCGAAGTGAATCAGATTCGTCTCACCTTGCTGTTGAACATGTTCACAATCACTGGTGTCTGCTCATAATTGTGATAAAACTAATAATTGTCAATAAATCAACAATCGAAACAAGTGATAACATCAACACCATCAACATTGATAACTGGATCCCATCATTCTATCCTTTGTTTTGATTAAGACCACGTAACAATTGCTTTTAAAATTAGGCCGAGCAGTAGCAAAAGGGAATGAGGAGTCCGGAAAGTTTGGAAAAGGGACTAAATGCAACAAAGATAAAGAAGGAGGTGGAGGCAAAGAGACGAAAGAGGTGGATGATGAGAAGAAGGTGAGGAAAGAGAAGACGGTGGGGGCGAAGGAAGAGCCACATCGTCATTCCAGTTTTATTTTATTCTATTTGATAGTTTGAACTACGTGTAGGATACACCGGAAATAAAAAAAGAGAAACCAGTGACAAAAAAGGAGGTGGAGAGAAAAAAAAAAGGAGGCGGAGGATACCAACCCCGTTGATCTCCGCCCTTTTTACCTGCTCAAAAACACCCCAGAGAAAAATCAGTCACCCTCAGGGCCTCATGTTACATTATTCTACTGTCAGTGGATGCTACGGACATCATTTTCTAGCCACCCAGAAGTCGAAATGTGAAGCTACTTTTTTTTTTTATTCTGATATACTGAATTGATCCAAGTGATTTCAAGTTCGAATGATGATTTAATTTTTTTAAAATGAAGAAGTGTAGAAAAATGGTTGATTGTGATTGATATTAAAGTGCTAAACTATCAGAATAATGACTGAAAATGAAAATAATAACTGGATTGATAAAATGCGGGAATAATAACAAGGCAGTTGTTGGTCGCCTTTTTTAGCCTTATCTGACAATCGCTTGGGGGTTACATGTTCAAAACCCTTGTGAAGGCGGTGGATGCATCCAGCAGATTGCACCAGGGTCTTTCACTCATCTCTCGAACGTTGACGAACGTCAAAGCAGAAGCGCCGGTGCCCGAGGGCGAATAGTCCTCGACGCGTGCCGCACTGGTGATCAGAGAGACCGCCGACGAGAAAAGTAAGAGAGTGACTAGGTGGAAGAAAAATAAGAAACACTGCCAACGTATATTATATGTATTGCTAGAGACGTGAATTCTTTAGTTAAGGGGTTGGTAGTTAAAGTGGATAAGTGACGACATTCAACAACACCAAGTGGAGTCAAAGCAAGGCGATGACAGAATGCCTTCAAATCGGACACACGTCCCGTTAGGAAATCCTTTCGTGAATTATAACTCTCTTGTGATCACACTCTTTTTTATGCTGCTGTTTGTTGAACAACGAAGGTAAGTTTTTTTTAATTATTACTATTTATTTTAATTTGCATGGATTTGTTTTTTTTTTTAAATTCTAGTCTCTAGATGTTGGTGATGGTTTTAAGTCAATCAACATCATGATAGTGAATCACTGTGTATTATAAAATAATAGAGCAATAAATTGTTATTGCTATAAACAATATACAATTGTTTAATCATATAAAATTATTTATAAAAATATTTTATCGATATTTATTAGATATAGAACTTGTTAGGTTTGCCAGCAAACATTCAACAACATACCCAACTTTTAATTTTCCAACGGTAAAAGATTCCTGATATCAAGCAATTCTTCTAAATCATCAACTTCTTTTTCTGACACACTTTTTAGAGCAATCGATGACTCACCATTACTATTAACTCATTTTTCTTCATGCATCGACAGACCACCAGTGAATGATACATTTCAAGTGTTATTACAGCTTTAGAACAGTATACATTATCTCATAAGCTAAGTTATGTCATTAGATGTTGAAAAGTTTATAAATACCATATTACCAAGAAATGATTGATGTTGATGAAGATGCAGTTATCCAGAGATCCAGTTATTTAGTGCTAATCCATAGCAATCAATATAAAATGACTGAAGAAAGTATATCATCATGAATTGTCACTTCCTGTCATCATAATAAAGCTTCTACTCTACCAATAGATGATCCATTTCCAGTTTCATTTTTATCTGAAAGAAGAATTTGTGAAGATTATAAAAACATTAAACTGTAAAATTGACAAACGGATAATAATAACGACAGGAAATTACAATTCATTTAAAGGTAGTGAAAGCTAGCCAGGAGCCAGAGAGCTAGAAGCGTATCAAATTGTGGCATTCGGGAATTTATGGGCCAGAAGGCCAGCAGTAACGTCTTGCCTTTCTTTCGATCCTGTACAGAACCAGCAAAGAAAATCTATCAATAGAAGGTAGCAGAGGAAAAAGTGAATATCAACCTTCCATGATCTTTAGGTCTACTCACTGATGGAATTGAATGAATTGTGACCTAGGTATTGGTCTAGAGCTAGAAGTAGTACCTTGAAATTGACTGGGTGAACTTCATGGAGATTTCGCGGTGATCATTTTTGGGTACTATTTGTGAATAGAGTCCATGATCTTCAACGACATCGCCAGCAGCAGCAGCTGCAATGTGTTGTGTCTCTGGAACCATTCACATCACGCTTGACAGCTCAATATACTTAAAAGTCGATTGATGTCACTAACTAAAAGAACGTTCAATTAAACGACACGTGGGTATTGGATGTACTCTGAGTGGAATGCTTCACTACAACATAATTATTGTCATACGTTTGATGGAAAAAATGATGGGATAAGAAACAGAGTCGTGATAGAACGTCGATTGGTATTTCATTTACACCTTCTGTTACCTTTTTCTTTTGTTGGATGATGATGAAAGATATTGAAAATGTTTTGTGTTGAATTAAATCATCAATTCCCAGGTCAAAATGTTCATGTTTTCATTTAGGAATTATTGGAAAACAGTCATCTGCATTCATTGATGGACCTAGAATTTTTTTTTCCACCTGGACTTTGATGAAGTTGAAGCTACCAAGTGCTATTCAATTGATAAAATTATGGCCTAATTTATCCTTTCGTTTTTTTTCTCGCTAAATTCCAACTAACATGGATGGATTTTCTAGTTCGTTAGTATCTTCTAGGTTTCCCCCTTGGTTAAAGAGAGTATACACAAGTGCACAAAAGGGTGAGTGCCAGAGTACGATAATTTCAATGAATAGTCGTAGCGATTTGCTTTTAGGGTTACGAAAAGGGTCAATCCTTTGAACACACCAATAACATGCCTTTCATTTCTACCAACTCGTTAATTATCTGTAATTTTCTTGATTTTATCGACAAATTCAGTTGTCGTAAATACAGATATATATATATACAACTACTGCTATAAACTGCATGTTAAATTAGCTAGATTACTGATAACATTTTTATTCTTCTAACAATCTTTAATCCATTGATAAATAAAGATAAGTGTTGGATTTAAAATAAAAAATAAAATAAAAAAATAGAAGTCAGTTTGCAGAGAGTCATCTAATAAAAGATAGGACTTGTAAATAATTCTTATTTCTGTAACTAAGATTAATTTAATAACAGCTGTAAAAGTTGAGTGATCGTAAAACTAAAGTTAAATAGTATTAAAGATATATTTGAACAAGTTCGTTAAATGTTGGCACCTTTTGAACCCAATATCTCTGGATGTTTTTGATTGGAAAACAGACTCTAAGTGTAAATTGAACATATGGTAGCTGATGGAAACGAAAACTTGTCTGCTTATTTCCTTATTCTATATTTATTTTTTCTATACTTTCATTTATTAATAATCATTTCTTACTTCACTTTAAATACGTAGATCGATTGAGTTGAAAAATTAATTAAGTGAATAATTATTTATTAAGACCCATGGTATCTGATTAATATTCAACATTTTGTTTCTTTTTTTGGAGATGATAGATCTTCAATGATCTGATTCGTTGCTAAGAAAAGAACACTTGATTTAAATTAATCAATTAAAAAAACAAAAAATAAATAAATTCTTTCCTCACCTGGTCAAGTTGTTGATAATTTAGCAGCACAAAACACTCTAGAGCGTATTCACATTTATGTAGCAATTTGTCTATCGCCTTTGAATCATCAATTCACTTTCATTAGATCATCAATAGTGCATAAGATACCAGCACCGGTGTTGTAGAAGTAATGGGAACGCTCAATAACTTGAAACCTAAAAAAATAAAAAACAAAAAGAACACAAATTAAAAAATTATTGAGGATTTTAATCTCCTTGATATTTTATCACATTTTATTCATGCTATTTCATTTTCTCATTTCTCTTACCTTCTTGCAGGATCCACCAAATAGGATCCTCTATCTTCCTCCTGGTACCTTTCTGTCTTTCAGCTGATTCCAAAGCCTCTCTCTCTCCCAAAGTCACACAGGTCCCCGAAGAATTTGCACATTCACACGCGGGTGCAACACGTTCCTTACTTTTAGGGTCTTGTTTTTATGGCCAATTTGTATGGTGCATAAATATTTGGCCACGAGAAATAAGAGAAAAATGATGTAGAGTCTAGATCGATGTGAATAGATTATCCAAGACTGCTGAGTGTGTTGTTATTTAATTATGACGATAGGTTGCTTAGATTACTTTTAATTAGTGATGTTTATTAATAGCATTTTCTCCAACAATCTCCACTGTGATCAATCTTCCTTCATTACCATGTGATATTTATTGGTGCTGGTGATGCTATTTGATCAATGAACTTCATTTACATGTTGAATTTTTTTCATTCATTTTAGAGCGATGGGGTTGATGAGTAATTCAGTGGATGACTGGTCAAGTGGTAATATAATTGTCTGCAATGGAATCCCAGGGTTGACGAAGGAGCAAAGAGATCTTTGCTATGCAAATCCAGACGTGACAGCAGCGGCAATCAAAGGTCTCCAGATGGCGATAACTGAATGTCAACATCAATTTGCATGGCACAGGTGGAATTGTTCATCACTATCAACAAGTACTAGAACACAAAAGAACAGTGTTTTACTTCAACGAGGTCAGTATTGAATATTTTCTATTTAAAATAGAGATTTTGATTGGCATACAAGACAGATTAGAATAAATCCAAGATAATTTTCGCAACACACACTTGATGTATCGCAAACTTCTTTTTCAATCTTACTCGCACTCTGCAAAAAATATACCCTGTCGTGGAATGCACGTGAAATGTCCTCTTAAATCAAGCGTAGTCTACGCACGACGTCGTGGGATCATTTGAGAATGTCCCTCGTTGGATACCTGACCCAGTTCCATAACAAGAGATGAGAAAACGAGTGAAAGAGAGAAAGAGAAACATTGTGGAAGAGAAAAAGGAGGTAAGCGTTGAGCGTATCGCGAGTCTTGAGTATAAATTCATTGTTGTCCCGTCAGGACGTACGTGCGCCGAAAGAGAAACATATATTGTGAGAGATGAAAAGCGACGCGACTAGTGCCGCGTTGGACGAGTGTGTTGAGTTCGCGCGACGGACTGCGCACCTGACCTGAATCTCTTAAGAGTCACAGCCTCTGTTATAGTAAGCATGATATACGTCAAGTCTGATTATCTGCAAGCCGAGATTACGTACCGCGGATCTCTTTTTTTTCATCTTACTTTTATCATGGGCTTCTTCATCATCACTTGATGCTTACTATGATGCTGCTGTCATTAACGCTATTTATGTTGTTTTAATTTTGTTGAAGATTTTTGGCAGCTGATCCAATTGAACCATATTGATATCTTAACATTTAAACCTATTAATATTTATTCTGAATCATTTTTTCGAGCAAATTGTGTGAGAAGCTCAATATTTGATTAAAAGGTTAGAATAATAAAGCTGGGAATGATCACATTACTGCACGCTGTGAGGAAATGGTGTCATTCTGACATTTTAACCTATAAATATTTTATTTGTTCTAAATGATGCCAAAAATAATTGTATATTTACTCTAAAACAAAAAACAGCAAAGGCACAATTACCTGATATGGTCTTATTTCCTTACTTTCCTCTGGATTTAAAAAAAAGTCCCCCAAGCTAATCAAGTATTCATCGAATTTCTTCTGAAAAATGGTCAAACGATTCCAATGAATCAACTCTCGAGATTAATTCTTCGGTAGTAATTTAGCCCATTTAAATAATTTCCTCGAGCATATTTTAAATTCCTAAAATGTCCCAAGACTATTGGGTGCAGGTATTCTATGATCAGTAGTTAACTTTCTATTAGGATGATTGGTTACTCAATATCATGGATCTGAAGAAGTTTTGGGTAACATGTATCTTCTAATAGATAAAATGTTATTCCTTATCCAGTGGGATAAAGAGTCAGGCAAACGTTGAGTTGGATCAAGCGCATCACGACGTGTGCGGTCAACCTTTACCTTAGGCTTTCATTAGATGTAGGTACAGTCAATTTAACCATTGGCTGGCTTCTTCCATGGCATGCCTACAGAAACACACTTTGGTGCGAGAGAACCGTGAGGATTTGATACGCTAGATTTAGTCACTATTCTAAAGATTTTCGACGCCTCACAGTACTAGGGATTCTCAGAAGTTTCCACCACGATTTTTTACGCTTTGCCAAGATAATGACATCTAGAAAATACGTAAATCAATCATCTGTTTTCTGCAGTAATATATATATAAATATATATTTTTATTATCATCATTTTTTTAACAAATTATTCTAGTCTTTTCAAAACACAGAAAAATGTTTCATCAACTTACTGTTAGGGTTAATTAATTTTGAGACTGCCATCACTGGTAACTAAGACCAGGTTATCAACATTGCATTCTTTTACTCCAAAACCTTAATTTAAAATCACTTACCCTTTATGTTTTCCTAGAAAATTAATTCAATAATTAGCTTGATCGAATAAAGCTAGAAAATGATTCTCTTTTCAAACTAAATTCTTCTCTGAATCAACACCATCTCATAGTCTTTAATCAATATCCTGATCTCTGATTCCCTGGAACACTTAGTAATACTTCAAATAGGATTAAACTGAAGCAGTCCTGCGGAAGAGAATTTTGATCATATTGAATTCAAAGAAACTTCAGTATCATCATATGAGTATTTATTCGACATAAAAATCAATGTTGGTTAGCAAAAAATGGCTTTGAACTTTCTATATTGCATTGCAGACCAATCAGCAGGATGGAGATCAACATGCTGATTAGTCTAGAGTTTAGGTCTCAGTTAGATGAATTTGATCTGATATCCTAGACAAGCTTGATCTAATTAGAGCTCTTTGTATACGTGATGGATGTTAAACATAAGGAAATTATTGAATTAGATATGCTTTGATAGAATCAGATACTATCAGATCTAATAATATGTTCTATCAAATGCTTGGAGATTTTATCATGGAAAGCTATATTGCTAAACTGTTCTAGATGATAGTGATATCAAAAATGGATGTTACTTACCTATTGATCATGCTTCATGATGACACTTGGCCAATTAAAATGCCTGATTGACTCCCAAAAGCATCAAGTTTTGCATCATCAGTGTTGACTACTCCAAGTGGTAGGACGGGTGGTACTGTAAAAGAAAAAAAAAATAAGAGAAGAGAAAATACTAACAACAGTCCAGGTTTTTACTTTATACGGATATTGGCAGCAACTGTTTTATAATGCAGATACTCACTGCAACCGCTGGATGGGTGAGCAGGATGTTAGAGAAGTCGTAATAAATCCTCCAGTGGGAGCTATACGTCTCTCAGTAGATCTTGAATCCGCTCTCTACTTCTCTCCTCGGACGACAACAAGTACGCCGACGACGTGGAGGAGACGGAGTTGAAGGAACCCAGTATAGGCTCTCGAGAAACGCATGAACCGTATTTACTTTTTTTTTCGCTTTCTCAGAGATGATAAAAACACATGAGCTTCACGTACATTAATACATAATATTATTGTCTCGAAATTCATGTTGTTAAAAGCCAAAAGGGATGTACTCTAGGGACAGGAATAGAGCTTATTGGTTTTTTAACAGTGATTATGATGATGAATAAATGATGTTTTAAATTCATCTTTAAGCTTAAAATTAATTTAAATAAACAATGATTATAGGTAGACTGTGTACTCACATGACAAACTTTCCATTAAACAGTTCTCCATATAACAAATTGCAATTGTTATAAACAATATCCCATTGTTAAAATTAATGTATAGTCATTTACAACAGTATTTTGTTGATATTGGTCTCATTTATTAACAATATTTTGAATCAGTGAAAATAATTGCGAATCACAGACAATTTTTACTGATTTTCAGTGCTAATCCAACCATTGATTGAATCAATAATTAGATTAGCACTAAATAATCACTGATTATCGGTGCCTGTCTAATTACTGAATGAATCAGCAGTTGAACTAACACTGAAAATCAGTAAAAATTGTCCCTGATTCGAATTTTAAAAATCGATTCCATTACAATAACTTCGTTATGAAAAAAAAAAATAAGCAGACAGAGTTGAAAGAAAGAGATATTTTTTCCAGTTGAAAAATGAAAGATTCCAGGAGACTCTAGTGTTATCATGTGCAACATCGTCAATCACCCAAGTGTAAAATTTGTGTAATGAAATTGCGTCTTCTTTGTTCCAGGTTACAGAGAAACGGCTTTTGCCTATGCGATATCAGCTGCTGGTGTAGCACACAGTATTGCAAAATCCTGCAGCATGGGTCGTTTGATTTCCTGCGGTTGCGATCCGTCTAGTTACAAGGGTAAACCACCAGCAAAAGCACGCGGAGCACACTGGAAATGGGGAGGTTGTTCTCATAATCTAGAATACGGGATGGAATTCTCGAGGCAATTTCTAGATTCAAGAGAAAAGGCTGGTGATATTCAGTCGACCGTTAATTTGCACAACAATCAAGCTGGACGTCTGGTAATGTATATCATTATATATTTTTATTTTTTTTTCTATCTCTAGATTTCATTATAACCACTAACCTTCATCGATAAAAAGTTCTCATAATCCAATGCCAATAAGTGATCACGATATAACCTCAAAACTCTTAACCTTAAAGTAAAAAATAAATGCTCAGTTTCAAGCTTAATTTGCAACTTTTAATAAAACATAAAAATTTGAAAAACGTTAAAAATAAAAAAGTAGAAAAAAATGTTGAAAGAAAAAAAAACTGAGTGCTCTCCTCACATCCTCTGCACAACCTCCATGTTCACTCTCGCCTCGACGTTATTAAGACGAAGCCCCGGGCCGGACCACCCAGCCGTAGACTCATTAACTGTTTTGTACGCGACACCTCTTTGTCTAAAGGTAACCCTTCTCTCGACCTCTCATTCTTACAATCCTTCTCGGTCTCGCCTTCTTTTCTGCATCTCACGACAGCTTCATTCTTCCTCCCTCTTTGTCCACAAGAGAGTCACCTGTACTTTCTGTTTGTACAATACTTTAGACTCGCTGCTTTTTGTCAATTACCTCGATTTTTCAAGGTTGATTTGATTTAAAACCAATTTAGATACTTAATTATCCAGCCTGAGTATGGCCTTTCTGCTTTAACTACGCAAGAGCTCAATGTTACCAACCTAAAAACCCCCCCTCACATCTAGTCTACATTTTTTTGCAACCCAGACTCATTTTCGGATGTTTGCAGAAACCGTACCTCATTATATCACATCAAATCCTCGCATTCTGCTATGTCATTTAATGGTCCATTATGAAATTTAACTCATTCCAGGACAATGATTCATTTCTGATCGGTTTGACTTTTAAGAAAAATTTCATTCAGCTGTTGAAGCAAATTCTCCAATTGAGGAACAGCGTAATATTTTCATAAAAAATTTAAAACAATAACGGGATATTTGTTCACGAAGACAACTGGCATTTGGGTGGAGGAAATTTAAAGTAAAACAGCAATAGCAGTGTGTGAGTTGTTCACAAGGTGTCAATGGGTCATTAGAGTTGTTGGTCATCTAAATATAATTATCGTTTGAAGATGAATCAACATCTAGGTTCCACTTCACAGTGGATGTATTGGTTGATGAATACACTCAATGTCGTCTGCTTCTGAATCAGTTTTCTCCAGTTCCATTATCAAAAATATCCGTCCATCTATCGATGACTGACTGTTCTTCTTCTGGACGTCCTGGTCATCACTGAAGTCGATCAGTCATGCGTGCACTTTCTTCTATTTATTTTCACTGCTACCTTTTCAGTTCAACTGCTCTTCTACTGGTACTTCTACTCCACTTGCAGTGACTTACCATCTCCCAATCAAAGACTCGTTGATTATAATAACACTGTAGCTGTTCATTCATTGTATTCACAATCAGCTGTTCCAGTCTGTTGTTAGAAAAGCATTCGAAGCCAAAGAGATCTAGGAGGTCTATCACAAATTCATCACCACTGGAAAGAAAAATATCGTTAATAATAATTAATCTATTTTACAGGCAGTGGAGAATAATATTCAAGTTCGATGCAAATGCCATGGAATGTCTGGCTCATGTGAGTTAAAAACCTGCTGGAAAGTAGTCCCAGAGTTTCGGATCGTCGGCAAAACCCTCAAGGATCGTTTTCGAAATGCAGTTCTCGTGGCTCAGAGTAATTTAGGTAACGTTACACCACTCTCAAGATTACGAGGGTCACGCAGACGTCGAATAGATAAAGAGAAGCAGAGGAAAAATCGTCCTGGTCGTGATGGCAACAACATTGGACGAAAAAGAAAACCTCGTGACTTAGCAAAACAACTATTCTACTATCAAAAATCACCTAACTTTTGTGAACGTGATCCTTATCAAGACATTCCGGGTACTACTGGTCGTAGATGCAACAGGACCAGTCCTGGTGGTGATGGATGTGCTTCTTTATGTTGCGGACGAGGCTACAATATCATCAAACAACGTAGAACTGAAAGATGTCGGTGTAAATTTCATTGGTGTTGTTTTGTTCAGTGTCAAAACTGTACTATTGAAGAATGGATTACTGTTTGCAAATGAAATCAACTCTTGGACTCTAGCTCATCCATTCTTTGACACTTTCGTATTAATTGGCTGAATTGTTTGTTGATAAATGGTACTAGTAATTAAGAAATTTGTGTAAAAAACGAAAAGAAAAAGGTTGAAAGGTTTTTATTGAAATTATTTATTGGTCAAAGTTGGTGGATTGAATCCACTTGGAAGACCATGGTCTAGATGTTGGTACATTGAAGTAGATCTCTAGGAGCTTAAATAATATTCACAATAATTAAATAAGTATTGAATTAATTTTATGTTAATTTACAATTAATTATCAACCTCAACTATTTTTTTTTACTCATCAAATTATTCAATGAGCTTGAAACTTATTTCTTCCAATCATAATCCAAATGTTGGTCTTCATATTTATTTCATCAATGCAATATCTATTTGGAAGTAGACTGATTTTTTTGATAGCTTTGATTTTTTTTTTATTTAAATTAATTTATGTAATTGTAATTAATAGACAAGGTTATTGGTAATTAATGTTAGAGGAATAAAATAAGTTATCTTTAAAGCAAATGTTAAAACATAAACTCCACTGCCGAGGTCTCGTTTAATTATATATAATAAATAATAATGTAATAATTAAGTTGTATGTCAAAGACACACTTGAACAATAGTATTAATTGTAACTAGTATTATAACTTTAGGGACGCTTGAAGCGTTGATTTAAAATATTAAGGAATTTTAATATATATATTTTAAGTAATTTATTTGTGATCAACACTTATTTAATATTTAATTAATTATTATCGTTTTTAATTATATTAAATAATTTTTAATTCATTTCCTTACTGTAATGATAATAATGCTGCAGTATTATTAGGGAAATCGATGATGGAAATTAGACTATACAACAATTGTAATGAAATTTTTAATAAGTAAATGCGCATTTTATTGTTTGGAATAAAAATTTGGCTTTTGGAAATTGTTTTGTTAACAGGTTGAGTAAATATACTAGTAGATGGATAAATTATTGTAAATGGAAATTAATTAGTATTTTTTTTTTTATTCATTCTATTTTCGTTTATAGAATGGAATAAAATATATTTTCATCACATATTTATTAATCAGCTCATGCAATTTATTTTCTTTGTATTGTAATATTTTTTTTTGTCATCAAAATCATCAAAAAAAAAACTAGAAAATGATACTAACAATTTTAAAAAATAGTCAAGTGGACCTCTGCTTGTTTTTTTTACTGTTAGTATTATTCTCTAGTTTTTTTTTTATTAATGAGTTTAATTACGGAACAAAAAATTCCTTTTTTTTCAAATTTAAAATTTTTTGATGGATATATATATATATATATATATATATATATATATATATATATATATATGATAATATAGATATTTGTGTAAGATATATTCGGTTAATATCCCGGATATATTTTTGTATATCTGGATATATTCTGAATTTATTTTCAATCTATTTAATTTATCTCCTGGATATATTATGGATAAAAAAAATTCTCATGTGGATAACAATATGTTCCTCGACTTGCTTTATATACATAAACATTACAAAATAAATTTATCCATCAATAGGTCTATTTACTCAAATGCTCTAAGCTTTTACTTGTATTATACACTATTAATTGTAAAAATTCCATTTAAATACACAAAATGAAAGATAAATATCATTTTTTAGTGTCGAGAATTAATTGACATTCCCAAGATGATAATAAAAAATTAAAAATTTCAGTAAGAGTAACATGAATATGTTTGAACAAGTCTCTTTATCTTTGTAATATTCAGTGTGTGTTCCGGATGTATGCCTGAAAGCAACAAGTGTTGAGATGTAAGAAGTAAAAAGGTCTGAGCAAATGATACCCATACTTAAAAATGTATCCCACTAAAGTCTGTAGATCAGTAAAATGGGTTTCTTTCATTTTTCCTGTCCCTTCTTTTTTTTCGTCATCATTCTAGCGTGTAATTGAGCACTGCAAGTGGCTTACGTGCAGGTGATACAACCTCTGATAGATTTCGACAGTCGTTTCCCGGCACCTGGGATCCTCAAAAGAAATGAGAACTATCAGTCTAAGTGAATAGACTTGGCTACTCAGGATTTCACGCTGTCGCGAATCTGCTAGATCCATCACCTTCTTCAATATTCCATTCATCATGTCAAATATTTACTCGAATTATTCTTTAAGATACATTCAACAGACATGACAACATCTATCATTACTAAATAATTATTAAATAAGACAGATTCCAGTAAATAAAAAAAAAGTGTTGTCTTAATTTGATTGTAATCCAGATGAAGAAACTGATAAGCACGTATTGATGCAGTGCTCATTCTATAATGATGAAAGAAATAACTTGCTTAGAAGCTTAAGGTTTTTCCCTCATACACTAGAAAAAGAAAACATGACTCAGTACACCATAATCTCTCAATTTAAAAATTATTTCTATCAAAATGATTCTTAACATGAATGATGTTGGAAGCAAGACTGATCCAGTCTAGGTTCAATACTAAATCTAGCATCAGCTGGGTCCAATATTGGACCAGGACTAGGTCAGCAAAAATTATTTCGATAAAAATGAATCTAAATACAAATGATTCAATAAGTACTTATCAATAAAAAATATCGAACGTTGGCTCCATCTAGGAATATTTTTTTCAAGATGACCAAAATTACCTGTTACTCAACACAGTTGATGTTGATAAATTAGATATCAATGAAGAGAAAGCCTCTACCTGTAAAAAAAAATTAATTGTCAATGAAAATTTAAGTAAGACAGGAAATCAATTAAATTTATATTCAAGTTTTCATTTAATTAATTTAATTAATCAATGATTCGCTAATTGATCAACTGATTTGGATACAATTATGTCAATTCACCTTTAAATGTGCATTTTTATTGAATAATTGATAGAATAAATTACCATAAGTAAAAGAAGTGTCTTCAAAAAATGATTGATTGATTTTCTTTTATTCATTGCAACTATCAAGTATTGAAAAAAGTAGTATTAAATAAAAATCAATAAACCTAACAGGCTCGCAAGTTAAGTCTGTTAATTAGGTTGACCTTATTGGATCTATGAAGCCAAGTGTTCCACTTACCGAACCACTAAGTCATTCAAACTAGAACCAAGTATTTTAGCTACCCCTCAGTCTCCAGTGCCTCTTCGTAGACATATATTTGGTGTTGCTGAATTTCTCCAAAGGATCCTCCTATCCTAGTGTCATTACCTGTAAGTAATGAAAAGCAAAAAATTAGTTATAATTCAAAATTAGAATAATTTCAACACTCACCCTTGTTGGAGTAAATTTCATCGATGTTTGAGTAAGTAAAAAATTATTTAATCATCAGAGAACATCTTCATAAATATTATGTGAGTCTGAAGAATAAAAAGCATAGTTTCCAATAACGATCAGTAAAAAAAGTTCATTAGTGGCTTTGACGCGTGCATATACTGGTAAAGTAAATGTTGCATGAGGTTCGAAGAAGACTCACAATGATGCCGCTCTAGATGTTTAATTTTCCAAGGATTTTAAAAGACACTAGAGTTTTTAAACTTATTCATAAAAATGTGTTAACTGTAAATGTTTTTGAAAACAAAACAAAAAACTTGTTCACATAATGTTTTCAAAATAAAATGTATCCCAACATCAATTTGATTCAATACCACGAAATTGCAACCAGCAATGTGATGAATGATTATAAGTGTTTTCTTTGTTTGCATTGAAATTTTTTTCATTTAAAATAAATAAATACAAAATGAGGAAGTATAAAGAAAAGAAATACTTGAGAAAATTTACGAGGTGCCAGTCTTTGAGACCGTGCAATTGGGAACCGGTTAGAGCATCTACATTACCCCTTTGGAATCTTTTTTCAACAGTAAGGCCATCCTGCATTCCAATCTTGTACGAATAACACTCTGTGACTTCCCACCGAATTCCCAATATCAAGTCCTTCACAACTGTCGTATATAGACAACATATTGCTCATTATTACTAATCAATTGTGATAATTAATATTCATCTTTTAAAATCAATACATTCTTTCAGACTTTATTTAATTATTTTTAAATACAACACCTCAACAATCACTAAACATTCAATCATTTTTATTAACAAAAATGGCGGCAAAAAATAATAAACAAGTAGTGACATCTGCTAAAATTGAAGTATTCAGTAATAAAACAGTTAAAGTGTGTTTAGAGTGTGTGAAAATCTATAGTTTGTAATGGAGTTTAGCATTAAGCACACTTATAACGTGTTATTTTAACATACTTTTGGTTTACAATGCACACACACACTAATACACAGTATAGTCGAACACTGAAAGAGTAGAAATTGGAGGTTATACAAAGAAATAATTTGTGCGCATGCGCCAAAGTAATTTCCATGTATAACCTCCAATTTTCCTTTGTCAGTGTTTCGACTGTACTTGATATTAATACTGTGCAATTTTTTGAAGGTTATGCATACGATTTCGCTATATCTTACGGTACCAAACCAAAATTTACAATAAATAACTTTAGTTAAATAAATTAAACTAATTAAAATAAAGTATATCAGTTTAAATAATGCAATTCCATGAAAAGCTAGACAATAAAATGGATTATAAATATATTTAAATTAATTTGAAACTATTCTAGTGGTTATAGTAAACGTTGAGTGAAACATGAGCTCATAATTATTTTATTTGCATTAAATTACTATTAAAATAATTTTTAAAGGAAATTTTTTGATTTACTGACACTTATTTTTTGTGCATCTGCCATGTTATATAAAAATATCTGAATTGTCTATAAATCATGAGAGGGAGAAAAAAAAAAACCCTTGGCCCTTAATTGGTAATCCTTGAGTAATTTCATAAAATAATTAGCTTGCAATGATTGGCTTATATTATATACTCATTTGCAAATCATAAGTCTCTTAATATAAGATAAAGGAGTAAAAAACGTTAAAGGCATGATGAAGATTCATTTAAGAGTTATTGATATAACAAAGAAGAGAGGATGACTTTTCAAACTGAAGAATCTTCATTTTCTCATACGTAAATCAAAGGTATGATCCTCTGCATAGAGCACTCAGTATTAATTGCATCTTTTCAAAGTAGTCATCCGACCGTCAGTAATAGTTAATTACTACTTTGTTACAAAACGTATTTCAAAGATGAATAAAAAAAAAAAAAGAAATCAATGGCTTCAAATGCAGAGGAAAAAAAAATTTCTTATTTTTTCTTCTTCATGAAAAATAGAAATCTGAAGTACAGGGTGAGTCAGAATTATGTGTAAAGATTTTACACACGTAAACTAGATAGTTTTAATATTGAATGATCATTTCTATGATTATATTCGATAAATATCCATAAAATAGCAATTGAAGCCTTCCATCTCCACCGACATTTTACTCATTATCTAAGGCCTCTAATTGGTCATTTTTATTATCAAATACCTACCTTATTTTTCTTCCCACATATTGCAAAACAACAAAATACTTACCAGCTTAAATTCGATCCAGTTTACGTGTGTAAAATCTATATACATAATTCTAACTTACCTTTGTATAATAAATATTTTATCAGCAAAAAATATCCAACACTTTATTCTTTGTTTACCACTTTTTATTACTTAACTGTAAATTTATTCGATGTAGAGATTTGTAATCGTTCTTTAATTCATTTATTTTCATCACTTGTTTCTTCATCCTTTTTTCACTGTTTTTGTTTTACATTTTGTATAATTTATCGATTTGTCGGCACTGCATGTATTCTATGTAATGCAACTTTTTGCTGGTTGTAATCGAGAGCCAGAGAAGCGAGAAAACTCAGCATTGACTATATGTGAATGTGGTGTAAGAAAAACATTCATCCACTATGTTATTTTGATCTTACTTTCTGTTCAGCTTAAAGTTTATACATTTGTTCAATAAACAAGTTTCTTTATTATTTATTATTCAAAAATTCATCAGTTTAAATTCATTTTATTCTCAAAACCATTTCTTCTTTCAGTCCAGAATTCAATCCAGTGGTCTCCAAGATGGACTATGGGTATCAACGAGGTAGCTTTGAAGATGATGACTATGATTATCAACAATCATATAGCAAGGCTTCTTATCAATCAGAAGGTAGAGACCGTCGACCTCCAAGATCAAGCAATTCGAGTATTCGTGATGGTCGTGGTCAGCAAAGTTCTTCTAAATATCCAGAGAATACTCTTCAACGACTTGATAGCATCCAGGATCCAGGAAAGAGATATGTTTTGAATGAAGTCATTGGTTCTGGAGTTTGTGGAGTAGTGTATGCTGCTGTTGATACCCAATCTGGTAGGTTCATTCTTTCCTTTTATAGTACATTAATTTTTTATTTTAACTGAAACGTAGAAAATAGTGTTACGACATCAATGAAGCCTAAATAAAGCTTGTCTTTGAAAATAATACCTGAATCTAATTTAATTATACAATTATCATAACAAAAATTTAGAGATTCTTTTATTTAACTTCATGTCTGATTTAGGTATTTTATGTTGAGGTGTGTTGGTCTCTGTAACTTCTGTTCTATTAAATCGATCATGATGATGGAGAGTCCAGTGGATAGAGCAGGATGAGATGATTTCCAAACACTGGCTTTCGATGTCAATAAGACCCATAGATCGGAAGAGTCTCGTCCAGCTCTATCCAATCTACCTAGCATGACAATTGTCAACTCATCAGAAAAGAAACCGAATTTTTTTTACCTCATGAAAAGTATTAGAAATATAATTGATGTTTATTTTTTTCTTGTAGGAAGCAGACCAGTAGCTGTCAAGATACAACCACTGACATCTGAGACCCAAGAATTCATCGTAGAAGAGTACAGAATTTTTCGAGATCATGGAGGACACCCGAATATTCCAGACTTCAATGGAATATACAGGAAAAGATCTGGAAAGAAGACTGTACCTGATCAATTATGGATTGCAATGGAGGTGAGTATGATTGCTAATTATTTCATGAAAGGAATAAAATGAAATAAAAGAATGAATGCATTAATACATATACGGTAAAACCACAAACGAATAACATTTTGAGCCTTAAATTAAAAATAGGGGAAAAACATGGGGTCGACCACAATTCAATTTTAATTCCACTGGCAGTGAGACTAAATTATTTCCGCAATTATGCTGGCATTTCTATCTTCACTCGACATAACTGTATGTTCTCTCTTTATTTGTTAGCTCTGCTCTGGTGGACCGGTCATGGACCTCGTCAGGGGACTTGCAGCATCCGAGAAAACAATGCGAGAGGAACACATTAGCTACATTCTCAGAGAAGTTATAAAGGTAAAGGATTATTTAGAGTTGTATATAAAGAATAAGAACATTCATTACCTCAACATTTTTTTTTTTTATTTGCGTTTGTTTTATAATGAATACATACAGTCATTTGTAGACATGATTCTCAGGAATTAACTCGCTGCATTATTGCTATTAACAGTGTGTTTGTGTGTGTGTATTATCATCAATTATTTTTTTATTTCATTTTTCCTTTATCATAAAGTGCATCAAACACGAGAGGTTAAGTGATGAAGACTTTTTGTTCAAAATATGATTAGTTACATTTCATTAATGACATTCTATATGAAATGACCTTTATTTTGATACCAAAATCAGTGGATACACTGATGAAAAATACATGCTTTACCTTGATTCTGGTCTTAATTGAAAGCTTGGTTGGCCTAGCTTTAAAAAGAAGCACATTTGGGATTACTAGTGCTTCATGATCTCAATAAAAAAAGATATCGTTGCTATAGAAAGCCCGAAGAGTAAAAAATCAAATGCAAATAATAAATCATTAAATTTAATTGGCCGATATTTGGTGGATCTTTTTGATACCATTCGTATTATATTATCTAGAACAGACTTCATATAACTATCAAGTCTATGAGAAATTATTTTAGACTGTTCAAGTCTCATAATGAATTTATTAATACGTTGATTGAGTGGCCATGTATGACGTGAAGAGTAGCTAAAGTGATCACGAATAACATAATTCCTAGATATTACTAATTGCTTCCTCATCAGATAGTTGATTATAATTGGTTTGAATGTGATACAAGCATAATTGAAAGTGCTTACGTTGAATAAAATTTCACAATTAATGTCATGTGTTGTTACAATCTTTTTCTTAACCTTTTGATCCAAGTGATCAATTTTTATAGTATAAGGAATGAAAATTTTCTTGATGGAAGAGCTTTTAAAGTCATCTAGAGTTTGGGGGAATGATTTTATTTTACTTTGAGTTAAAAATGCCGATAGATGGCCACTGAATGTCGCATGGAGCACGAGAAAATAGAAGAATATTATCATGAAAAAAATTCGCAAATGCAATGTGGATATGTTGCTGACTATTCCTGTGTTCCTTAGCAATCGAAGGACTTCAAAGAAAGCAAAGGAATAATTCTGGTGATTCTGAGAGACAATAATGACACAGTAGGTTATAAACAGGATTACTATTGTCATTGAGATCATTAAAAATCCGTAGAAATCAGCGATGGTTTCTAGTGGGGTTTTCATTCCTGGGAAACGTGATACGATGACAGCTTCCAGTTCAACGACAGGATGAAAGTGAAATACTCGGGTCTCAAGTTCCCACATTGGAGCTGGACAGATGAATAGATCAGCAGCAATGGTGTCTCTGTAATCGCTTCCTACTTCTATGTTTGATAGATTAATAAAGTGATGTATTATGGTGAAATCAAGATTCAATATATTCTTCATTAAATTAGTGATGTAAGTGTGTTGTCTAATTATTCTAGCTTTGGTAAAATTTTCTGATGTTGACCATAATTTCTCCTCAGAGATGCAGATCAGTGCTTTTGATTTATTGTAGCCATCAAAATATCTTGTCCGGTCAAAATCAAAATTTTCACAAATTTTTGAACCTATGGATTTTTTTTTTGAAAATTAACTATGGAAGACAACTTCACCTTCGCTACACTCTAGATGATATGGTATTAGCTGAAGGTATTTGATCATAGATCTAGAACCTCAATTCCAAAAAATTAGCTTCATTACTTACCTTGATTGTGATAAATACGATGATAAAGTGTCCACGGATGATACTTCCTATTTTCTACCATACCAGCAAGCTTCCAAGGTACTGGTGCACGATTGGTAAAAGGATTAAACGTAAATATCATCAACCTTCCATCCTCATCATAGCACAAGTAGAATGATGTTAATATATCATTATACCATAATATTCTCAAGAGTTTCCTCCTTTTTTTACAACCATTAAATGATTGATCAATGATTATAAAAACAGCCATGTGATTCCACCAAGATGTGTGCTGAAGTGTTGGTAAGACTTCTAGAAATGATTCAATTGATTCATTTGAAATGAAAATAAAGTTAGCTTTTTCTGAATAGTGTGCATTAACTAGTTGATGGTGATGGTGACCCCAGTGAAAAATTTCCAGAGGATTGTATGAAACTAGGGATACCAGTTTGGAAGTCTGGAGAACTTTTACGAGATTGTAATCATGGTTATCATAGACGACCACTGGATAAAAGTCTTGATAGCAAGAAGTAATTAAATGAGCCTGAAAAAAGGTGTTTTAATATTTAAATTAAAAAAAAAAAAGAAATGTATTGATTTACTTGCCAATAGTTCGTTCATTTTTGACTGCTTCCTGATGATATCATGATTCACTAATTCATTTAAAGTCATCAGGCCCTGACTTGAAGCCATGATGGTCAAAATGAAAATACCCAATTCGATAAATGTTAGCATATTCTTCTTCCACTAGAGAATGAAGCCAAACCAGTTTGAAAAATGTACACTTTTTCGTATTTATTTAAATGAAAATCAATTAACTTAGTTGATGTTAACAGTTCCTAGTAATGATAAAATCTGATAGGCCTAGTAATTTCAAAATATTTAAAAAGTAGAAGAAAGGAAATATTTCCATCAATACCCAAGCAATTACAGACAATGAATTCTTTTATTTTCACACAAGCCAGCAGTGTATGGTATTTACAATTGTGGCCGTTTGTCAATAAATCATCTGAATGGGTTGGCACACAGGTACTTGAATGAGCATGAAAGTTATCGTTCCACCTCGGTAATATTATTCGCTCTTGCAAGCAATGTTACACCTAGGTATAACTCTTAACTCCATAGGAATAATGCTTGTCTGACAATTCTTTTATTTATCACCAGAACTATTCTGTTGCAGGCTTTGATCCACCTGCATGAAAATAATGTTATTCATCGAGATGTAAAGGGTTCTAATATCTTGATAACAAGCTCTGGCGAGGTTAAATTGACTGACTTTGGTCTTGCTAAACAACTGAAGTCTCCAACATCGAAATGCAAGACTTGCATTGGATCACCTTCGTGGATGGCTCCAGAGGTGGTGATGAGTAAGAGTGATGATCCTGAAGGAGGATATGACACTCGAGCTGATGTTTGGTCTATTGGGATCACAGCTATTGAACTGGCTGAAGGGAAGGCACCTTTTGAAAGTATGCATGCGACTAGAGCTCTCTTCCAGATCGTACGAAATCCACCACCAAGTCTTTATAGACCTGCTAACTGGTCGGATAACTTCATTGACTTTATCAATGAGTAGGCAATATGATTGTTTGATTCAAAAAATGTGTGTTTGGAATGATGGAATGATTGTTGATGATTTTTTTATATAGATGTCTAGAGAAGAATCCAGAAAATAGACCAGTGATGGCGGAAATATTAGAGCATCCTTTTCTCCAGGAACTTCCGAGCAATGATTATGTTGTAAGTATGATAAATGATGCTATTCCATTAAGAAAACATCTCAAAAGTCTAAGATAAACAAAAATAATTCATTAAACCAATAATTCATTTTCGCACAGTTAACTCAAGAGTTAAAGACGTTGGCGCAAAATGCTCGAGAAAAGGCTCCCAAGTCAAAATACCCTGAATGTATGGTTCGCAATGGCTTCGTCAAAGTAAGTATCAACAACTAATACCTTCCATTCACACATCCATTTTCAATCTCTCTAATTCTGATCACCAAACTTAGACAGACAAGAGAGAAGCAGAGAGGATGCTAACAGAAGACTTAGCTGCCCTAGAAGTCCTAACTGAAGACACCATTCTAGATGAGCTCAACGAGCGCATTCGTCAGGGTGATTTCCATGCATTCGTTGGAGATGTTCTGATCATTTTAAATCCCAACGAGATCCAAGATATCTATGGACTCAGTGTAAGAAGCATGCTAAGAAGCCTCCTACAATAGCATTTAGATTACTATATTAATCAATTGACTTATTTTCTTTTCAGTATCATGAAAAATACAACTTCAAATCTAGATCAGACAATGCTCCACATATTTATTCAGTGGCTGACAAAGCTTACCAAGATGTGCTTCACAACGAAGAGGCTCAGCACATTATTTTTTCAGGTGAAAGTAAATCTGGCAAAACATCCAATATGATGAATGTCATCAAACACCTGATGTATCTTGGCAAGGTAAGAAAGCAACACTTAAACATAGTTCCGATTAGGAAGCATCTCCAAAAGTAGTCCACGATAGTTATTTGTGAAAAATATATATTCGGAGGTGTCCCCGAATCGGAACTCTACCCCAATATGTTGACCGAGCTTGAAATAATCAATCCTGATCAATACCTTTGATGTAGAGCACCAAAGACATAGGTATCAGACTAGCAAAAGCAATGGATTTGATTCAAGCACTCACCCATGCAGCAACACCACTCAATCCCAATTCCACCAGATGTGTGTTCCAACTCCAAACGACCTTTGGATCCACTGGCAAGGCTTCCGGTGCTATATTCTGGATCTATCAGCTAGAAAAATGGCGGGTTTCATTGTTCGACAGGTAAGTAAGCAAAGTTATTCAATTCTAAAGATAATAATTATAATTATTATCATTCCCAAAAGGAGTCAATCCAACTTCCATATCTTTTATTATCTATATGATGCTCTGGATGCTAAAGAAAAGCTTCAAGAGTACAGCCTTCCATCTGGAAGACGGATGCGATATCTAAGAATATGTGAGCCTAACTATGGCAAGGCTTCCTGTGAAGTTCGACACAATCCTCAGGGAAATTGTCTCAAGTTTGATGAGATCAATGAAGTGTTGAAGCTCATGGAGATGGAAGAGTGTACCAAGAAAATATGGACGATACTGTCAGCTATTTTGATTCTTGGTGAAGTGAGGTTCATTGAAGGCAGTAATAGTGAAGCTGAAATTAGGAATGTTGATGCTGCTAATACAGGTAGTTACCTTTTAATTCTGTGATATGATGAAGGATTTATTTAATGAGAAATAATTGGTCTGCTTCTAGTGGCAAACCTCTTGGGTCTGGATCAAAAAAAATTCATCTGGTCTTTGACTAATTATTGTATGATAAAGAAAGGTAGTGTTGTACGATGTAAGCACACATGTGAGGAGGCTAATTTAGCTCGGGATATTTTATCAAGTACAGTGTATAATAGACTTGTTGACTGGATCATCAACAGTGTGAATGAAAAGCTGTCGATGACTCGAACTCTTTTGTATGAAAATAATTTTTAAAAGTATTTCATTTATTTTGCATGATTAATGGATTGTTATTGATGATATTTTTCTTTCCAGTGGTGATAAATTTGTGATAGACCTCCTAGATCTCTTTGGCTTTGAATGCTTTTCTAACAACAGACTGGAACAGTTGATTGTGAACACAATGAATGAACAGCTACAGTGTTATTATAATCAACGAGTCTTTGGTTGGGAGATGGTAAGTTACTATAAGTGGGGTAGAAGTACCAGTACTCTATCCATTATCATAAAAAATATCATCCATTAATCAATTAATTAATTAATAATAATGTGTTCAACAGCAAGAGCAAGAAGAAGAGGAAATTCCTATCGAATATTTCCATTATTATGACAATCGAGAAGTGATTGAACGATTGATGGGAAAGAACTATGGACTGTTCCAAGTGCTAGATTATGCCTCTCGTGAATCACAAGACACTCAGTACATCCTAGAAAAAATGAAAGACAAGTCTAAGGGATTATATGTCAAAGCTATCAGCCATCATGAATTCAGTGTTGCTCATTACACTGGAAAAATATCCTATGATGCGACAGACATTGTTGAAAAGAATCGAGACTTTGTGCCACCTGAAATGATAAATACAATGAGGACATCAACTCTCGAGATCATCAAACAGATATTCACTGGTCAATTAACAAAGTCTGGCAATCTTACCACAGTCAGCGATCAACCAAAGGGTCCACAAGTAAAGAAACGGGTAGGAGGAAAGGCACAGCAAGAAGCTTCCAAGATTCGGGTATGCTTTAATTTTATTTTCTTATGATAATGATAAGTTCTTGATCTTTACTTTAATGTTGACCTTAGAGATACAACACATCATCAAGAGGACAGTTTTCTCAGTCGAGAAAGATGCGAACATGTGCAGCAACCTTTCGTTCAGTTAGTCTGGAGATATTGAAAAATTTATCAGTGGGAAGCAGCAACGGTGGCACGCACTTTGTGAGATGTATTCGAGCTGATCTAGAAGGAAAACCTCGAGGATTTTATCGGGAACTTGTGAGGCAACAGATCCGAGCACTAGCTGTTTTGGATACAGCAAAAATTAGACAGAAAGGATTTCCACATAGAATTCCATTCCAAGAATTTCTTAGAAGGTTGATAAATTGGCACTGATTATCAGCAATAATCCAATCGATAAATGAATCACTCATTGGATTAACTACTTTTAAATTATTATAATTAAATATTTATCTATTTACAGATATAAATTCTTAGCTTTTGATTTTGATGAGAACGTAGAGATGACCAAAGATAACTGCCGACTCCTATTAGTTAGATTAAAAATGGAAGGCTGGATAATTGGAAAAACCAAAGTATTTCTCAAGTATTATAACGAAGAATATTTATCAAGATTATATGAAACTCAAGTAAGAAAAATAGTCAAAATTCAATGCATGCTTCGAGCATTTTTAGCACGCAAAAAGCTCAACAAAGTCAATCAGAAGAAGAAGGAAAATGGTAAGTACAAAATAAAGTAAAAATAGTTCATATTTACTCAATCTATTTCATTTCAGCTAAGAAATCAACACAAGTCAAGAAATCTGATTCTGTGACAATGTCAGAAGAGGATGCAGCATTGAAAATTCAAAAAAGTAATTCACTGGAATAGCCAAAATAAATCAATGTTATTTTTATTATCAGAATAAGAAATACTAGAGTGTTAGACTCTGATTTTATTTTCAAAAATATATGCATGTATATAATACGGGTTTTCATTAGTTTATTTATTATGACACTATAGAGATATCATGAACCAATGAAATCCTATAAAAGATTAGTATAACTTATTTAGCATCCACACTTGTACCTTTCCATTACCAGCATGAGGAATCAAGTGTTTATTTTGTAATAATAATTTCTAAATAGCTTTCAGGGGCCATGCTGTTAGGAAAGAGATGGGTCCAGTGTTGAAAGGTGAATTTGATGAAAACACCAAGCAATTTATAGAATATTACAGCTCTAAATGGAAATCAAAGAGCATATTCCAGGTTCTGTTGCAGTATCGTGCAGCTCGGTATCAAGATCTGGTTCAATTTTGCCAACAGGTTTGTATTAATTTCTTGAACAAGGGAAGACTTATTAACCTAGCCTCATTTTAGGTTCATCTGTATAATCAAACCTGCTTCGCCAATCTCCAAGAGAACACTCAACGAGCACCGCTAGATAAAATAGATCCTAATGCCAATAAGAATCTATATCTTGATAATCGTCCAAGACAAGTTCACAAGCTGCCATTTGATTTATACAATGAGTTTCCTTTTTTTGATACAAGCTACATGAATGATCCTTTAAAAGGTCGAAGAGGCACAGGGTAATAATTTTCATTTATTTCTTTATTTTATTTTATTTTTGATACATCTAAGAAATTAATTATCACAATCAGGTCTATATGTTCTGTTTCTGATGAAGAACACGAGTCATGGGATGCACCACTGCGGCGACAAACAGTACCATGGGCAACTCAACCAAATAAAAAAGGTTTGAAGTAAAGAATAATATTATAATTGATCATGAAAATTATTTTAATAATATTTTAAATTGCATTAAAGATGTTGAGATTCAAACAACATTTTCACCTAACCGATCACCTCGTCATAACATGAATACCGGTCAAAATATCATCAATACTCCGTTTACAAGAGATCCAAATATACCTGTAAAATTACCTCCAGCAGAGATACCGCAAACGAGAAAATTCACGTCGGGAAATACATCATATAAGTCACCAGGTGTTACGAATTCCTATAGTGCTCATAAAAAGATGCCACCGCCGCCTATTCCGATTAATCAAAAGAAAACGTGGAATGATAATGACAAAAGGAAACAAGACAATTGGATGAATGAAGATCGAAATCGAAATTCTATCAATGTGCGGTAATAACCACTGAAACATCAAGCTAAATATTTTCTTATCATTAATGTAATGATCAACAAATAATAAACTGTTAAATAATTCTAGATCTAATCCTATTCGTGAGCTTCAAGCAATGGGCCGGAGAAATGTTAATAACAATGATGATTCGGATGATGAGCCACCATTTAATTTCCAAGTAATGTCAAAATTGATTTTATGGGTTCATTTACATCCTGTGGAGCTACTACTACTCCTGCTTACTACCCTAATCCTAAACCCAAAAATACTTACCAAGATCGATTTATGCTGGAACTAAATCTAACTTATTGATTCCAACTATTCCTTCTTCACTAGGCAATGCTAAGGAAAACTCCTCACCAACGTGACTCCATGAGAAGGAATCCAGTTTACGACAGTCACATACCAACATCACCACCCAGAAGACAACCCCGCTATCAACGACCAACATCTCCATATCCCGGTGAACGAGAAACAGCTTACAAGTCATCTGATGATCCAGATGCCGTGACCATCTATCGAAGTAACAGTCGAGTTGAATCACCTGAATGGAGTCCAAATGAAATGGTGAGGATGTCTGAGAAGTATGGTCGAGAGGAACCAAGTTGGGCTAGCACATCTGCCCAGGATGGTGCTTGGGGTGGAGAAAGCAAACCATCAACAAACAAAGCTAACAACATCAATAATAATATTAATGACAACACCAGCTTGAGACCCAATCAGTATGAAGCTAAAGTTCTAGAACAGAAACCTGATGGTCGTTCTATTGTACAACTTGCTCCAGGATTAATTATCGAAGGATATTGCGCTGATCTATAAAATACAGAAAGATGAGTTGAAATTTTTTTCAAATATTTTCATTGATAAATCTGACTTCAAATATTATTATTTCATCATATTAATAATAATCTGTATTTATTCGGCAAAACGCTTAAATAAATAACCAAATTGATATAAGAATAAAAAATATAACTAATTATCTTTTGGTATTATTTATATCATACTTTACTTCTCTAACATTTCTAGACTTGTTAAACCATAAAAAATAATTTTGTCATGAAATAAAAGGTCTTTGTGTCTAACAATTGGCCTTAAAAATAATTTAAAGCATTGAAATATTTGAATTATACAATATTGAGTAACATTATGAGATAATTTGTTGATAATATATACATACATACATCCAGATACGTACTTCTATCAAAGAAATAATTAATCTTATGCCTTTTGACTTTAACATCTTACCAAGGCTAACCATAATACATCACAAATAATATCGCAGAAAGATTCTATACATTTATGTTGTTGATTTTAAAATTAATCAAAAGCTCATACGTGGCTAGAATAAATTTTACACCATGTCTATCTTATGTTGACAATTAGCATGCTGGTCAGCATGATAATCATTGCCAGTCAATAAATAAATTATTTAAAGGTTTCTTTGAAACACCATGAAGTGCTACTGCATTCATTTTTATTCCTACTCCTAAACATAAAGGGTAATAGTCAGTGGGTATTAATTGCCTTTCTCTGAAATAAATATCTCTTAAATCCCCTATTACTAGTATCTATTTTAGTAACACAATTTTTCCATGTCTCTTCCCATTGAATACTATTCGGACTAATATTACTAAAATGTAACAAAACTTCTCTTATCAAATGTATTTTATCACTATCAAACTGTTGTTTGCCCATTTTACCATTAACATTGCAAAGGATTCTTTCTTCAGGGGTGAAAAGTATTTTCATAAGGTCACAAGCTAGATGATCCATGGGTCTAGATGATGCCCATGTTGATATAACATCTGGACTAGGAAGTAAATCAGCATATGGTAATCGTTGATAGGCATAGAGTAGTGGTTTTAGTGTTTTAAATTTTCCAGGAATATTATCAGGTATTCCAGGGACATCTTGAGTAGAAGTATTCTCGAGACCTGTTGTGTTTTAATAACTTGTAACAAATTATTCTTAATTAAATAATTAATCAACTTACATTGCGAGTGATTGGATTGGCTTGTGTTAAATCTATTCTCCAGCTGATCAACATCATCTTCTATTTGTTTCTGCAATTCATCTGCTATCGACTCCAGTGGTTCTATCTGGAAGATTAATTAAATATAAGCACTATTGGGAATAAAAGAAGAGTATTAGGTTGTTTGAATATTTATTGATGATTTTAGGTTACTTACTTTCATTTCTAACTGAGGATAAACAGAATGAGCAATGCTATCTGATAGTAAGTTACTATCTCTGTTAGCTTTATCATGATTAAAAACCCCAGTTGAGTTTGAAAACCTCGATTTCTTAGCAGTTGTTTTTTCAAATATTGAATTGTTATTTTGTCCTCGTGAGTTTTTGTACTTTTTCTTCGGTGACTCTTCAGAATTATTGGTCGTCTGGTCACTGCTGTTCAATTCCCAATCGACTAGTCTTTTAAAAGATTTATTTGCTGAAATTTCTCCACCGGATAGACCTCGAATCTGAAGAGTTTCAGCTGCTTTTAGTAGGATTGGTAGTTGATCTTGTTCTATGTTGACTTCTCCTTTGTATATAAATATTAATAATGCTTCTAATTCACTGAAATGCACATCTTGGAGAATTATCACTGGATGTTGACAAGGATTTGTCTAGAGAAACGAATATCTTTATTATTCAAACGTAAATTGCGTGATAGAAGGTGATGTATTTTGATGAATGTGTTTACTAACCTCGAAAATTTTCTTGAAGAATGGACTACTTGCTGATAGAATTATTTTATGTGCAGTCAAACATTTTCCATCACTTGCTAATGTTACATCAACTAAACTGTCTTCTTCCCAAAGATTCTCAAAACTTTTCACAATGTTATTTAGAAAACTATTCCACTTCAAACATATTTGACTTGACATTATGAATTTTGTTGTTATTCTCGATTTAATACATTAGTTGATTAATAAGTGTTTAATTAATATTTGTCCACAAAACTTATGTAATTTAGTTTGAATAATCTCTTGTTTTGACAATAATAATACATTATGATTATTATTTAAACAATTTCAATTAATTTTTTATGTATTGACCGCAGTGTCACCCTTGTTTTGCGGTCAAAAGTGGAAACAGAGTGCTCGTATTATGTAGCGGGTAATTTAAATTTTGAATGGATTTCAAGAATTAGAATTTGTGTAATTAATTTAGGTTAAGATGAAGAAAAAATGTTAGCTGATAATTATAAAGTGTAAAATAATAAAAATTTATTTCTTTTATTAGAAAAATATGCAAAAAGTAATAAGAAATTTATATTCAGAATTTTTTTTGATTTTTTATAAATTGCGGACATGGTGTAGTGGTATCATGCAAGATTCCCATTCTTGCGACTCCCATTCTTGCGACTCGGGTTCGATTCCCGATGTCCGCAGATTTTTTTTTCATACACATTTTTATGTAAATAAAATTAAAATCTTTCTAATAATTTTTTTTCCTCTTATAACACTCACTTTTCTGTAAAATTTTCTTAAATACATTTTTTCCCCTTTAATTATTCTTTTAACCCATACTTAACTTAACCTACAATTTATTTAATAATTTTTCTCATTATTTACACTATAAAAAATAAATTTATTGTTGAATAAAAAATTTTTAAAGCATTAATATACACATTAAATAACATTAAAAAATTCATTTCAGTTTGTAAAGATAAAATGTCGTCGAAAATAAATAATTTAATTTGGCGCTAGCGTTATGGCAGCACCGCCATCTTTCCGTGACTGCAGTACAACAGCCACATGTTCGTTGCTATCCAGAGACCGACGCGACCGACGCTTGTTTGTGTATTCAAAAAAAGTTTACTGACGTTTTTAAACACTGAAATAAATTAATTAAATACAATTTTAATTGTAAAACCCATTAAAAGTGCAGTTAATGATCGAATATTAGTAATGAAAATAGTGAATAACCTCAAAAGTGTACAATAGGCTAGAATAATATCAATCCATGAACTTTATTTGGCAAAAGTTTGAATTTAACGGTCATAACGGTGGATGAATGTTATCTTGACGGTTGCATTTGTACAATTTTCAATCATTTAGTGGTCACATTTGTGTTAATATTAATTTTAAGTGACTTGATAGTTAATTTATCAGGAAAATTTATTATTTAATTATCAAAAAAAATTAAATAAATTTCGCAATGGATCCATTTACTAAGGTAAAAAGTGTTTCCAATCATTTTTATCAGTGTTTCGATTCAATTTTAACTTTGAATAATTTTTTCTTATTATTTTATTTACAATGAATCGTTATTTTGGGCCCAGAGAATGCTAGAACGTGCGAAAGCAAGACGGGAAAAATTAGATACGCAATTATCTAATGCTGGCCATGAGATACGACCACGGAGAAGTCCTCTGAAAGACGCCAATGCGATTGTTTTACAAGCTTCTCGTCAGTATTCTTATAAAATAAATCCTCCAAGTTCAATAAAAAATGCTAAATCTTTTAATCCCTTTCCAGAGCTTTCTTCAAGCTTAAATACCACAACTAATTCCACACAAGAATCATTCAATATAACAACAGAATCTTCATTCAAGGCCCCAGGAACTCCAGAGAAAAGTAAAAAATGTTCGGAAGAAGTAACAAATAAAGAAAACGGGTCCCAGATGATGTCGAGTGTTAAATCTAAATTAGAGAGACTAGGAAAATTGTATTCAGGTGGTTATCAGTTCTATTTATTAATAAATAAAATTCAATGTTGATTTAAAAATGATTATTATCAATGTTGATGTGCTACAGATGATGAAAGCCGCGAGCTGAGCTCCCCAATTCATAGAACTGAGGAGACATTCAGTGCTGAAGAGTCGTCAATTGACGAATACAAGAGCACCAAACGTCATGGAGCTAGATTAGATCGTTTAGCCGCGCTTGCTTCAACTATTAATAACTGGGAAGATGATTTATCACATCCTCAATTGGTATTTTTCAGCTTCAATTATTAATTTTTATGTTGGGATATTTTATTTATCCATTATTTATTTTATTTTAAATAAGGTAAAGAAAGATGAAAGCAAAGCTGAAAAAATCCAGGCCCAGATAAACGACAAAGTGAAAGGTGTTAGTGCAGAATGTCAACCCAGCACCAGTGGATACAGTCGTTGGAAAAGTAATGGCAATAGTGGGAAAAATTCTGATAGCAACTTGACAAGGAATTTTAAATGGGATAAAAAGATTATTACTAATCTGGTGATTATTTTCATAAATATTTATTATTTTAAATTAAAATAAGTTCATACCCTTATAGCCAAATCAATGTAAGATTCAGATACTTGGACTACGTTAATTATTTATGTATGTCTTTGCCGTTTTTGAAAAGAAAACAGACCTAAGATTTTCGTAGAAAATTCAACGTAAGCAGGTGGTAAAGCAGATGTATATGAGTCTGACGAAAATGCTTACGTCAGAGCTGGCTATTAGGGTACTGAAACTTTTAGAGATGATTGAACTTAAGGAATTTTATGATTATGGGTTGAAGGATAAATATTTATTTATAATGAAAAAGAATGTGGTAAAATGGACCAATAAATTGTCTTTGCGATAAAAAAACTATTTTCCAGGAATCGCAAGGCTTTACGCGCACGAAAAGCAATTCTAGGCTCGTGTATGATTTTAAGGCTTGTTCTCAGGAACCCAAGACCCCAGAGAAGACACCGGAGAAGAGTGTAGGAGTAGAAAAGCGAGTTGATATACCAAAATTGCTGTCAAAGACGCCAGATAAGGGGGATAGAAATTCAAACACCAGTAGTAGCAGTGGAAATCGATCAGGAAACAGGTTTGGGGGTTACTCAGGTTCTTCCAAAAATATTATAACTTCTCCAGGTTCAGTTCTTAGCAAAGCTTCGTTATTTGAATCCAAAAGTGTAGCTACCAAGGCTAAGGATCCCGCGGAGATGTCGTTGTCGGAGAGGATGGCTTTATTTGAGAGGAACAAGGGTGAGGCGTTGATACCAAAAGCACCATTGACGTTGTCTGTACCTACGAATAAATTGCAAGAGCCATCAAAGTCTTTTAATCAAAGTGGTAATTAAATTAAAATAATTCAACAATTTATTCTCTTAATAATAAACTAATGTTTTATTTTTTTTTTATTGATTAAATAAAGGTAAAAATGATTCATTGAATAAATCAGTGATGAAGAGCAAAGAATTATTTGAAAAAGGATTACCTAAACAGGAGTTGGAGAATGATATTCTACGTGATACTCAAACCGAGAGGCAGAAAGAGCTAACAATGTTGCGTTCGCGTTTTAATAAAAATAAAGAAAGTGTCCAGGTGGCTGCTGAATCTTGCATTCGGCCAAGAAAAAATAGTGAAAATACCGCCAATGGTTCACCTAAAAATTCACCAGTGTGTCCAGTGAAACCTACTCCAGCTTCGGTAATATAAATAAGCACTTTTTTTAATGATAAAATATTTTTTTTTATCAGAATAAAATTTTTAAAGCCAATTTTTTTTGTTTAGGATCATATTCCAGTACCTCCACCACTGCCTCAAGGTTCAACGACTCCAAAGAAGCAAGAAGAAAAAGTGTCAGCCAAGAGACAAGTCATCAGATCACCTTCCCAATCTCAGCATCAATCTAAACAAGCTGTGAGTGAAGTGAAACGTTTTAAAGTATCACTATCCAAGGCTGAACACCTTTACCCTGATCTGTCAGGGCTAACTGAATCAACTGACACTGATACAACTGATGGTGAGTTCACCATAGCTTCAACCGAGCCAGATACAGTGACACTAGAGGAAGGATCTGATAAATCAGACTCCGACTTTGATACTGATGATTACACTCAAGAAGAAGGCAATACCAGCTTTGAAACAAGCATTCTGAAAGTAGTAACTCGACAGACAATTGCTAATAAAAGACAGATTGAATCTGATGCTGAGAGTTCTACGTCAGATATATCAGTGTTAGATGAGATGGATGAGTATTTAGATGAATGTCTTGCTAATCAAGAATCACATGGACCAACACCTCCAAAGCTCAATCGAGAAGCTGCTAGTCCTTCAACAGCTTCTTCAAGCTTCAAATATTCCGCTGGCTTCCGTTCTCCCATCAAAGTTACCTCTCGATCTTCAATCAAAAATCAACCATACATTGTCGAAGGTGATAATCATGTTCCGCTGATGTACAGTTTAAGTTCCTATCGTCGTCAACAGTCCACTCCTAATAAGACACCTGTGAAACAGGTCAGCAAACTTGCGATGGATGAATCAAGGGAGATTGAACCACAAGCACATGGTATTTCCCAAGAAGCATCACTTGTTGGTGATAAAATTAAAAGATTGATGGATGAAGTATGCAAACAGCAGACTATCATTGGTCAAGCTAGTCAAGCTTTAAATTTATGCACTGCTACGGTTGAGTTCAGTGGTTCTAGGGAACAAGTTGAAGGTGAAAGGTTACTTCTGATTGCCACTCATCGTCGTCAAGCTGCTCTAAATGAAATTCAGAGACTCAAAATCGAAGGAACTCTACGACCAGCAGTCCCAGGTGAATCAATAGTGCAAGAGAGTGGATCTCTGACTATCTCAGCACTTACATTACCTCTGAAGAAAGATTACCATGGAAATAGAGACATGTGCTTGCATTTCCTATGCTTAATTCGTCATCTAGATGTTATTATTGCTACACCAGTGGTCCAAGCTGAACTTGGAGACTCTTGTTGTCGATTCCCATCAACTTTGAAACTCGATAATCTTTATTCTGACTTTAAAATCACCATTGAAGTCTATTCCCTTGAAACTCGAGCTGAAATTCTGCCTCATGAGATCAAATATCATATTCATACCAACATTGGGCATAACGGAAGTGGCGCATCGAGTAAAAAGGCAGGTGGTAAGACACCTAAGAAGTTACAGAAACAAGAAAAACTCATCATGCCTTCTGTTCAGTCTCCAGCTGGACCTGGTGCTGTTCGTTCACCTGCCTTTGCTTTAAGTGGTTATGTAGTTTTCAGCTTGAGAGAAGTCAATCGTCAGCAGTTTACTTTAAACAAAGTCCCTCGTAATTCTTCACTCGAAGGTCATCTGCAGATGCATGTGTCTTGTGAATTATCAATCGCCGTTGAACATCGTGGGTTTTTAACCATGTTTGAAGATGTCTCGGGCTTTGGAGCTTGGCATAGACGTTGGTGCTTGCTCAAAGGAGATACTCTGTCATACTGGAAGTATCCTGATGATGAACGCAAGAAGACTCCCATTGGAAGTATTGAATTACAAGGTGATTATTTAAACAAATCTTGTTTCTTTTTTTTTTTCGCAATCATCTACCTCTTTTCTCTTTGTAGGAGTTGTTACGAACAATGTTGGATTAGTTTCACGTGATATTTGCGCTCGACCCAACACCTTTTTGTTGGAAACTGTTAGACCAACACAACCTGGTGATGAAGAGAGTATGATTGTTATCAAGAATGGACCACTGACAACAATCAAGTAATTAAAGCAACATTCCTTCATTATTTTTTTTTATGTTGTGATTAATCAATGCTTATTAATCAATTTAATTATTCCAGGCATCTTTTATCAGCAGATACAAAAGAAGAGAGATTAGAATGGTGTTCTAAGCTCAATAAAACTCTAAATTTAATTCGCGCTTGGGGAGGAGGTACACCTGGTTATTAATATTACCGTAACTTTATCATTAATTTTTTTTATTAAAGATTAATTATATAAAAATATATATTTGCTGATATAGACTTATAGGTATATTCATCATGATTTAATATTTTTAATAATTATAACAATATTAAAATTAATATTAGACTTAAATTTTTGGTTAGACATAAGAAGATAAATTTTTATGTTTTTTTATTTGAATAGATAAAATAATGAAATATAAATTTATATCAATTTTAATAGTATTATAGATATAGCAAAAGATAATATGATGCTTTTAGTGTGAATATATCTAACATTTTATACTAATGGTATTTTTTTATTAACAAAATACGTTTAATCAATTGAATAATATTTTAATAATGATTTTACAACATTAACAAATGACTTTTGTTATAATTTATTTAACTCCTAAACAAGATAAGTTTCCTTGAAAGATCTTTTTTCAGCCATGAGTGTGTTAAAGAAAATTCATAGTCAGGTAAATTTCTGATAATTATTGCTCAGAACATGTCTTTATTAAATAAAAAAAGGAAAATTTAACAAAAGTTTAAGAGAATGTAAAAAAAAAAAAACAATATTATTTTTAAATTGTGTGACTTAATATTTTATCCATTTTTAGCTTAAATTATTATGCAAGAGATACTTTTGGTTGGAATCCATTTTCATCAGCAGTATAATCAACTCGGTATGTTTTTCCATCAGCACCAACGAAACTAAAGCTTCCAACGACCTTCATTATTTCATTCTCAGTACCTTCGTTTAAGAATTCAGCGGTCTCTTCGCGCTTTTGGCCATCACTTTGTTCATATGAGAAACGGTAACCACCAATTCCAATATTATTATGTTCCTCTTGATTAACTATTGTCACTTCTTGTTGAGGACGTGCTGCTACCATTGCTACGGCCAAGACCAACAGGATTACTATCTACAATTGTCAACAGAAAAAAAAAAAAATTTATTAGAAGAAACCAAAGCAAGGACAGCCTGCTAAAGGATTTTATTAATCTATGAAGATACGAAGGTGTTAATTGGAACATGTATAAGTCTAAAAACTTGAATTATCAGTAATTCTTGTGATGATGATTAAACTAAGCCAGTTTACACATTTTTTAAAAAAGGTCCATCATGGACCAGGTTCTTCCAAACTATATAGATTCAAAATGAAACCGAAATCATCTTCACTTTCACTGTTATATAATACATTTTGAGGGACACAACCGTTATTTTGGGCAATAAAACAAAAAATCAATGAAAAAATTAATTTAAATCGAAAAAAAAAGATGATGATGATGATAAAAAACCCACCGCTTTCTGCATTTTAATTAATTTTTTTTTATCCGGTTTTAAACAACAAATAAAAAAGACTCAAACACTTTGAATGTTGAGGAAGACAAAATTTTTATTAGAACCTTCTTGAGCAAAGATTGACTAACGATACACAGTAAAAGTTTGTCTACCTGGACCTTTATATAGCCGCTAAATTGTCTAACATTCCCCCTTCCCAGAAGAGCTGCACTTCTCTGGGTGAATCCTCCTACCTCCACCAAGAATCTTAGAAGTCACAGCATCAAGCGTTGATTCTTCAATCAATTGGATAATTTTTCAACAAATTAACAAGTGAATTGATGATTGATGATGCCATGGGGGATATATAAAAATAGATAAATTGAAAAAGATGGATAAATAAAAAAACTATAATATGTTTTATTGATGAAGAAAAAGAAAATATTGTGATGATGTTAAAGAAGAATTTGCTGTCACCTTTGACCCGGGAAAGAGTATCAATGCTGATGTACATATACCTAAAGAACGTGCCTTAGAAAGTTCAAATCTAATATTATAGAATAAGCATGGATAATATGTAGAGGAAGATGATGATACCGATGATGAAATCGTCATTGAAAAAACATCAAATTAAAATTTATTAATGTAAAATTTCTAAATTATTTATAAGAAAAATATTTATATATATATATATAGTAGGTATATAATGAAGATGATGAATATTTTAACAAAAAAAAAAAACATTAAATTGTGAAAAAATATCAAGTATGAAGTAACGTCCTTGCGGAGACGGTGACATTTCGTCTAATACTTTTTCTTTAACATCTTTAGCCATTATATCTCCAGCCTGTGGAGCATTATACTAGTAAGTGTTATTCACGAGGAAAGTTAGTGACGCAATTCTTTGGTGATGACCTTGCCATTTGGAGATGCGCTACCGCCTCTTTAAGATTATTACGCAAGGAATAGCGTAATTCTTGGGTTTAGAATAGACTAGTACCTAGAGTTAGTTAACTCCGGAAATTAGATTGATAAAAAATTTACATGCTAATTTTTTCTTTTTTTTTTTTTGCCTTCAACTTCTACTTTTTCTTTTTTAACGACTAATCTAAGCTCTTGGTGAAGTTTATTTTATTCTTTAAAATTGAAATATGGTTTATATACTGAGAAAAAATTTATTAATACTCGAATTACAAATTAATGAAGTAATTAATAATTTAATGATTCAAATGGCTGAATGATTAATTAATAATCATACATCATTTGCTCGAAAAATTTGATCAATAAAAATCATGTCGAATGTTGGCAATAAAATATTTGATTTGATTGAATGATATTTTGGTTGGAAAAGGTATCTTGTCATTTGGTTCGATACTATGATAAGTCTAAATACAAATGATGTTTGATTGATTATTTGAGATAATTCTCTTTCTTCCAGACACCATGGGTTTTAATAAATAATTATTCATTCAATTAATTGATCCACTCAATCCATCTAATTCTCTTTGATGTTAGAAGAGACTTTGCTTCAAAGTAACAAACACATTGGATCCAATCAAAAAATGATAACAAACCAACACTCTAGACAATTCTATCTAAAATCATTCAGATGCAATGAAAAGGTTGTTGGACGATCAAATATTCTATCACGACTATTCTAAATTCCTATTTTAATTTTTTTCTTAGTGTACCTAGTCTCTTAAACTAATCAGTGAATATTCATTGATTATCAGTTCTAATTCAATCACTGAATAATTTAATGATTGAATTGGCACTGAAGATCAGTAAAAATAGTCATTAATTTAAAGTTATTTTCACTGATTCAGTTTTAGAAAATAGAATAAGATTTTTATATGTTATATTATTTTATGTTCGTTACGATACTTATTGATAACTCTTAATTAAAATGTAATAAAAATAATAGCTAAAGAAGAAGATGTGTAGGATGATGTTGGATGCTAAAATGCTATTTTTGTTGTAATCAATCGTTGAGATGGTATAAAAGATATGTAAAGTAAAGATCTATTTGGGATTGCACTACAGGGTTGTCCTGGCGGATAGAGAAAAGGGCAAATCCGTAACCCGAAGCACGGCTAAGAAGCATGATGATGAGACACAACGTTGTAAAACGCCGAAGGAACTCTTCAGTGGTGACATTTAACCATGTGCATCACACTGGTATCTCTTACGCAACACCGTCCAGATTTTTCTTGGATAACTAATAAATAAAGCTGTTAAGATAGATCTTTATATATCTTTTTTTTTTTTTTAATTTCATAATTAATGACAATCATTACTAATTAATCACTTGATCTAGCCTTTGAAAATACAGTTAATTACGATTTAGAATAAATTATTTAAACCTCAATAATTTTATTTTTGTTAACAATTTCAATGATTGGAAGAGAAAAAAATCTTTCAACCGATGCAAATTATTAAAATATTTACGAGTTACTAGGATACTAACTTGTTACGTAATTTACTTGCTTTCTTAGCTAAGACCACTTCATTCAAGATATTCAGGACCCGTTCTCTTCATCAGATTCTTTTTTTTTTTCTATCTTCCGTAAGAATGGATAGAAAATAGATTGTTTACTACATAATTATGCTAATTCTTGCTATTTATTTGATAGTCTAGCTGGCTTTGACAAAAAATGAATTTTTAACATTTCTTTCTAAGGTTTTCTTGGACAACTACTGAATAAGATTCACGTCTTACATAATTTAATAAAAGATTTAATTTATTCAGCTTTTGGAGAAACTGATGATATTCTTGTAAAACCCATCTCCAGCATTTTGGGCAACACAAAAGCGGACATCGATGTCGTCAAAAAAAAAAAGAAAAAGTGTCAAGTTCTAGTAGGTGGGATATCTTCTACCTATTTAACACTGTAGAAGAAATTTTGAGTGGGAGTTGATATCAATCAAGTTTTTAGGGAACTTAAATGGTATAAAAACCCGCAAAATTGATCATTCAAGACACAGTTGTTCGATCTGATTGACTCAGGCTTTTAACAAAACATCTATCATCATGAAAATGGTGCGTGAATCAATTATTGTGTATTAATTATTGTATAAAAAATATTTTAGATGTAATTATTAATAATAATTATTTTTATTATGTCTAGTTCATCGTTCTTGCTGCCCTCGTGGCTGTATCCCTAGCTGCTCCAGCTCAACAGCAGCAACAACAAGTCCAAGTTGTCCAGGAAAAAGTTCATGACAACATTGGAGTTGGTGATTACAGTTACAGTTACCAATTAAATGATGGACAATCAGTCGAACAATCTGCCCAACTTCGAAGTGCAGCTGGTGTTGAAAGTCAAGCTTATTATGTAGTTAGCGGTAGCTTCAGTTACGTTGATCCAGTAACCAACCAGAGCTACAAAGTCACCTATACTGCTGATGAAAATGGATTCCACCCAGTTGGAGATCATCTTCCAGCCTAATTTACTCACTCCAACTGCTTTCTAAGTCTTCTTATTTTTCAATAAAAAATTATCTCCTAATTTATTGGTATTTATTTCCGTCTTTTCATTTACTATTGTGCTACTTTTCGTAGATTTTACTGATCTAGCAGATCTTGATGATGGAGTTGATCCACTAGGTACTGTTTTCTGATTAATAGACCTAAGTTCAACGTAAAACATTACTAGAGCTACTAAATGACCTATAATAAGCATTGTAAAACCAGCTCCAAGGGGAGTCATAATTAAAGCGGTAGCTTCATTAGCTTCAACATCATGTTCTATTAAAACTTCTCGTAGATTAATACTTGTTCTGCGGTGAATGACGTTGTTGAGATGGTACATCGCTAGTCCAGTCTCTCGTATCCATAGAATTACCTTAAATATATTACATTCAAAAATTATTATTTTTGTTATTCAATAACCATTGGGTTGGTGCTGATGTAATTATCAATTGCTTAACAGTGTATTGATTCAAAACAAGATGATATTTTTTGTAGTAGTCTGAGGATTGTCCAATTATACATCTGCTGTTTTTTTCCTACACTTTCTAATTCAACTACTCAACATCTCCAACTCTATGAGCGTAGCAATAATGCTTTGGCTTAGCATCGACAACATGTCCTATACTCTAAGATTTGTTACGATCGACTAATCATTTATTTTTCATGTTTTTCATTTATTCTGTGCCGTTCTACACTAGTCTTTATTTATTTTATTTTATCATTTAAATCTTCTATAAAAATGATAAATCCATGAGCACCAACCCAATAAGTACCATCAGCTTATAAATTAAACAATAAAATAAAAATATACTTTGTCAAAGGACTTTAAAAGCCATGGCTGTACTGCAAATGACAGATAATAATCACCGATGCTATCTTTCATTACTCTATAATTCTAAAAATGAGAAGGTTAATTATTTTAATTAAATTTACATTTCCTAAGATTATTTTTTTTACTTACAGCAAGATCTTCACCACAGATATCATTTTCGGGAAAGAAGATTGATTCAACGATTGTGCCAACGATTGCATAATTGCCTTCAAGTATCTTATTGTGAATTTCATCAGAGGAATTATGTAGCTCAAACCTACCAGGAAGTTGTCCTGCATCAGGATCCTAGATAATTAATTAATCTATCAATCTTGCTATTATTTTATTTCATTTCTCACTTACCTTTAGATCAAAATAGTCATCAAAATTCGGCATTGTTCCTTCTCTGCCCCAAGTAAGGTTGTTTTCTATGAACTGATGAACAGTGTCGATCCTTTGTGAAGCAAAAAATATTTATATTAAAAAAGATATAAGACTATTCAGCTGGTTTAAATATATTTAATTAGAATAAAGTAGTAAAGGTGATTAATTAACCTTTGCTCATAATCAGGAGTCGTTAATCTAGCTGCTAAGCTACTGGAGTAGGCAGTGACTAAAAGAAGACCAGCTATGTGCCACAGATGTAATTGTATTTTTAATCCTTCAATTTTAGATGGTGCCCAAATGCCAATTAGACGACCAGTTAATTCCATAAGAGTCAATGGATAATCTTTAAATCCTTTTGAAAAATCAGATCGTTAATTCCAGCAATGCCTTTGGGGGAAATATCATGACATACTTGATGGAACATCTGGATTAATCCAAGCCTTTGTGTAAACATTCAGGCTTTGGATAATTATCACCAGGATTAATACCAGCCAAACTGTTGGAGACAATGGTCGAGTTAAGGCCCAAAAACTCTGACGAGGTTTAGGTCGTGGGACCAAAAAGTGAATGAATAGCTGATACCAAGGTTGTGTTAGATTTACATATTGATAAACATCATGCTTTAACCATATCCCACCAAAAGCTACGTCCACCTGGAATAATAGAATATGAATAAATAAAACTTATTTTGATATTTTCTTCTTAATAAACATTAAAATTATTTACCTCATTTTGTAGGATTTGATCAATCATTCCACCACTCCAAGTCGTGCCGTTTGGCCTTCCATATCTAAAAAAAGTGATGAATAAACTATCAAGGTGTTTCAGCTAAGCATCTAAGACATTCCAATGCAGGAAGTCAGTTTGTTATTAACCAATAATGTTGATAATAATAATAATTAAAATTACTTACCTACGACGATCTTTAGGTTTACGTATTAGCCAAGTGAAATTAAGTCTTTCAGCTATCACCAAGAACAGCTTGACCTCCACGCCATCAAATTCACGTTCTATTACATTCAGGTAATTATTTCAATCATTATATTTCATTTTAAATAATATTTTACTTCATCATAGAAAAAAAAACCATGCGTCAATCAAAAATTAACCATCAAGAAGGTAAAAACATATAATAATAATATTGTTAATAATATTTAGTAATAATTATGATTAATAAATAATAATTGTTTAATTATTAATTTAGAAAAGGACAAGTTTACTCTCAATTTCAAAACAAGTGCAGAATCCTATAAAAAATCTCACTTTAAAAACATATTGTAATTAAAAAAAAATATCCATTGGATTATTTACTGTTTTTAGGAGTGAAAAATTCCCGTTTAAGTCCTTTCTCAATTTTTTTCTGAGTTGTTGATAAATAAGAGTGAGGCGGAATGTAAACAGTAGCTATTTGCAACTGTCGTCCTTGTAAATTAACTATTCCGCTGTCGTGTTTCATATCATCATATCTGTAGACAATTTAAAATGAATAATTATTATTTAGTTCAGAAAGGTTAGCCCTTGAACTTTATTTTATCATTCTTTAAATATTAATTACTAATTCATGATTTTTATTAATAAATAATTTATTTACTTGATTACACTTCTGAATTCTCTTGGATACAAAAAATTTCCCGATAATGACCATTTTCCTGATTTAGCAACCACATTTACATCAGAATATTTAAATAATTTGACATTTAAAAGCGGTGAAGATTCATTTATGTAATTATTGATAATAATTAATAACTCTGTTGTAGAAATTTTCGTTGGAACTCTATAAATCAATATTTAATGAATACTGAATAAATACTTTCATTGATGAAAGTATTGTAATCCCAACTAAGAAGTTATTCTTTTGCTAGAGGTAGGAGACATTAATCATTATGATGACGCTGGAGGGGGGGATTATTTTTTAGTTGGAAATACAAAAGCTAGTTAGTGTATTGTCAACATTGAATCACAATAATCGATTGTCATTGATTGTCTGCAATTTTCAAGAGGTAGACAACAATCGATATATCGATTTTTTTGACAACACTGGAATTACAGTTGAGTCAATGTAAGGGAGACTGGAGCAAAATGGCGACACGAAGGTTTTTTTTTATAGCTTTTTAGAGATTTCTAAAAGCCAGTTTGGATTTTTTGCAATTAATACTTTTAAAGTTATTTAATTTTTAATGAAAAAAAGCCATATAATTTAATAAACTGCGGCATGTAATGAATAGAAAATGGTACATTTCACACCTTGAGAGGAAAAGTAAACTATCTCCTAATTAGCTTTTTTATTTTAACTAAAAATACATAGACTCTACTGTAATTTAACATTAAAAATATCATAAATACTTTTTCATGGCTTTAATAATTCTTTCAGCTGAAGTTGATACTAAAAAGTATCCTTGACACTCGTACTGACGACGTCGTACGTAATAATCGAAGGGATATGATTCTCTAAATTGATTGAATAACACTTGCACTCCTCTGTCGTCACCTGAAAGGAATTTTTAATTATGTAATTAAAGAACCTCATTATACGGAGATGTTAATGGAAGAAATTTAAGTCAACATTTTTAGGTTAAGGATAATTTAATAAAAAAAAAATATTCAAAAAAAAATACCATCAATGTAAATATTACAACATCGAGAGAAAGGATAAGACACATCAACAAGAGTTTTGAAATCATTGTCTAAAATCCACGAACGGTTTGATAAATTGTTAATAATATTATCAACATGAGCTAGGGTCCAACAATGACATAAAATATCACCAAAAATCCACCACTTGAACCAGTAAAACATTCTCAATAAATCAGGTAAGACTTTTAGGTTGAAGTGAACACCAATGTTTTGATACTTGACAACGAATAGAATGATAGCAGTCATAAAAACTGGTACGTGCCAGTGGATAAAATGGAATATGGAAGTATAAAATGATTAAATAACTTGATAAGTTGAAAAAAAAAGGATATACACCGTTAATGTCTTCACAAGCATGATGAATTATGACAGTCAACTCGTTAGAGCTCTCTCAGGAACACAATGGTATCAAACAACAACAATTAGAGGTGACAATCAATTTTTAAATGTTTAGCTTACTATCAGACATAGATTGGTATGAGACAGGTGAGTAAAGACTTTTAAAATTTTATTCGAAATTCATTTTTATTCAAGATCTTTGAAGGTCTTTTATAATGTTTATAACAATAGCAATTTGTTCTAAACAATTGAAAAAAAAATTTTCCATGTTTCACTGAAATTGATAGAAAAAAATTATCTCAAAATATTCCCAGGCTATTTTTTTTTTATTAAATAATTTATTTATATTATTCCATGTTTACATATTTTTTTACATCATTTATAATCTAATAAAAACATTATAATATTTTTTTATGAAAGCTATTTAAATTAATAGTAAATATTATTGTCATTAAATGTTATTTAAATACTAAAATTTATTGAAATCAATTTAACAGCGTGACATTTAAAATTGACAATATTTTTTCATCTTCCCAACAAGCTGGTTTTATTTTTCAGATAGCAGAAATGATGTTCTATCTACTAAAGTTGTGCAGTCGATTGTGTCTTACTCAACTGAGCTAGATTCATTGACATCTGTGTTATCTTATCATCCAAGCTGATTACTACATTTTAAACATGCGATTATAATTATTCAATTCAGTTGTATTTGCAAATTTATAGGATCCACTTCCATCAAGACATCACCATTACACAACTAGGTAAGTAACAATTCTTTAATTTTATTATTAAATCTAGCAGAAGACTCAACATCATCAATATTAATGACCATGTTTCTAATAAATATTCATCCAGGTCAACGCCACGTGTATGAGAGGAAGCTAAATTCTATTGTAGACGTTGATACTTTGACTTAAAGTCTTGATTCCAAAAAAATGGCGTTGAATTTATTTACTGTTGGATTGAATTTATTAAAAAAATCATCTCTCTCCCAAGGTAAGTTTCTTCTTTTAGATAAATCGAATCTCCGAAGTATCTAACATTTCTAATTTTAGGGAAACGACACTTTTCTAGCATTGGATTCGTTGGATTAGGCAACATGGGCAACTATATGGCCAATAATCTCATTAAAAAGGTAAGTAATTTCATTTATTATTAATAATTTTTTAATTTATTCCAGTAAGAGTGTTGATGGCATTGGAGACCTAATAATAAATCCCATATGTTTGGAACAGAAACTTGGAATAAATAAATGTTAATTAATTAAACAGGGCCACAAAATAGTTGTGTATGATGTCAATAGGTCAGCTTTGACTAACTTGGTTGAAGCTGGTGCTAAAGAAGCTTCAAGTGCTGCTGAGTTGTCAAAAAACTCTCAGATGGTCATCACCATGCTGCCTACTAATGATCATGTTTGGGAATCCTATACAGGGAATGATGGATTATTGAGGTGAGTCTAATGTGGAGAAGAAAGTGGTCGAAAAGATGGAGAAAGGTGTTGGAATTCTTGAAGAGGAATTTCATTTCCTCATCCAATGTCTTTTGATTTTAATGAATGGGATAAAATTGGTCAGTTTGTAATTGGAATGTTTAAGTAAAAGTATGATTTAATTGAACTTTAATACGACACATATATAGTCAATAAAAAAAATGGTCAGACTGGTGCATTAGTTTGAATAGAACTGTGCGGCGAAAGGAAAGAAGGGGGAACTTTCAATCCCCTGTCATCAAACAATACATTAGATAGATTTATATACTTACACAATTTTATACATTTCAGTACAGCAGAAAAAAATACTCTGTTCGTTGATAGCAGTACCATTGATCCCTCAGTATCCCAAAAGGTTCATCAAGAAGCTACGAAGAAAGGAGCTAAATTTATTGATGGTCCAGTTTCAGGAGGTTTGTCATTTGTATTTCTATCATGTTCTTTTGTTAAATAATATCATGAACATGTAGAAGCATGAGTATTTATTGATGATATAATAATTCAATAGCTCATTGATCCTCAGGTGTTGTTGGAGCTCGTGATGGAACCTTGACGTTCATGGTCGGTGGTGAGAAGGAACAATATGACCGTGCTAAACCCATTTTAGAAGCAATGGGAACAAGAATTGTTCATTGTGGAGATGTTGGGATGGGCCAAGTAGCTAAGTTATGTAATAATATGCTGTTGGCAATCAGCATGATTGGGGTATCAGAAGTTGTTAATTTGGCTGACAGGTTTGGATGTTGTTTGAAGTGAATCTTGTCATCTCAGATGATACACTGATATTTATTACTATGTTATTTTCATTTTTTTAGACTTGGTTTGGATCCTAAAGTGATGACCAGCATCTTAAATACAAGCACAGGAAGATGTTGGTCCTCTGAAGTTTATCCTCCGGTTCCAGGTATCATTGATACTGTGCCAAGTTCAAACAACTATGAGGTAGATTATTTTTTTATAGATATTGATCAGTCTAGATGATTGAAGAAGACAAAATGATTTTTGGTTTTTTTATTTTTTTCAGGGAGGGTTTTTAACTCACTTGATGACTAAAGATCTTGGTTTAGCACAGGCTGCTGCTACTAGATCTTCCACTCCAATACCTTTGGGATCTTTGGCACATCAAGTTTATAGAATGCTCATGACACATGGCCATGCAAATCGTGATTTTAGCATAATTTATCAATATTTAAAAAATTGTAAAGTGTAAATAAAGATGTTTGATTAAGCAAAATTATAGTGTTGATATTGAATTCTAAAATTTAGAAACCCAAGTTTAAGTAGAAAAGTAGAAGAAATATATAAATTTAAGTTCAGTATTTCGGTTTAATCGCAAAAAATATTGAAATCATAATTTATGCTTGAATCATAAAATGATGGATGTCATTGGGAAGATCTCGATGAGACGATTCCAAAACAGTAGGTATTGACTTAGGTTGGTTGGAGAAATCTCGAGATATTTAAGGAAAACTGCGATACATAAAAAATATGCATAACTTCTATGCTAATGATGCTAGGGGGTTGATCGAGGGCTCATATGAAAGATCTGGACCTAAGTAAAAAATTTGATCCCCCCTATAGGATATCCCCGTCAAAAATGCCGTATCTCTCATAGTTTCCGAGTTATGAGCGTTTAAAGGTTTTTCTATGTTTCGCTGTAGCATAACTTTAATTTCTGCTAATAACTCGAGATCTATGAGACCTACATAGACTATGAGCATATCAATGGATTCGTGAGAACGAGAGCTTTTCATTGCACTAATCAAAATCATAATTGGAGCATAATTTATGCTGAAATAAGGGCATGTTCCAATTTTACTCCAGTTTAGGAGTAAAACAATTAATTTCTTGGAAAAAAATTTTTTTTAACAAATCCATGGATATCGGTTGATAGCTGAGATTTTGAGGTTTCTAAAACTTCCCTAAAAAACATTATTGGACTGTTTGTTTAAGAGTTATAACGGTCTAAAGTCAGGGGGATGATTCTTTTCAGTTTTTATCTAGTTTTACCCGTTTTTAAGGGTGTTTAAGTGAATTTTCTCAAGCTGTGTCCCAATTCCGTATTTTCACTCTTCAAAACGAATAAAACGAACCCTTGATCATCAAAATCGGAGCACTTTTATTTTCGGCAAAAAAGTATACGAAGGGGTTGAAAAATAAAAGTCGTCCGATGTTCGAGTTCGACCACTCATTACCTTCCTCTCGACACCTAGAAATGTGGAATTTAGGGTCAAACATTCAAGAAATTAATTGTTTCACTCCTAAACTGGAGTAAAATTGGAACATGCCCTTATTTCAGCATAAATTATGCTCCAATTATGATTTTGACTAGTGCAATGAAAAGCTCTCGTTCTCACGAATCCATTGATATGCTCATAGTCTATGTAGGTCTCATAGATCTCGAGTTATTAGCAGAAATTAAAGTTATGCTACAGCGAAACATAGAAAAACCTTTAAACGCTCATAACTCGGAAACTATGAGAGATACGGCATTTTTGACGGGGATATCCTATAGGGGGGATCAAATTTTTTACTTAGGTCCAGATCTTTCATATGAGCCCTCGATCAACCCCCTAGCATCATTAGCATAGAAGTTATGCATATTTTTTATGTATCGCAGTTTTCCTTAAATATCTCGAGATTTCTCTAACCAACCTAAGTCAATACCTACTGTTTTGGAATCGTCTCATCGAGATCTTCCCAATGACATCCATCATTTTATGATTCAAGCATAAATTATGATTTCAATATTTTTTGCGATTAAACCGAAATACTGAACTTAAATTTATATATTTCTTCTACTTTTCTACTTAAACTTGGGTTTCTAAATTTTCATTTATCTACACAATGAATAATTCTAGTTATTTATATAATTTTCTATTCTTTTATTAACATTAGCATCATACATTATAATTATTATCAGTTAAACAATTACATTTCTTTGCGCTTTACATCTAAATTAAACAATTTTGCTAAACCTGAACCTCCCAAATATTTTCCAATTCCTACATCACTTGAGTTATTACTATTATTTTTCACGGCTTCAGAATCATCATTTATCACAGAAGAATTCTCGTGTTTAGTTGACAAAAGGGATTCAGTTGTTCTTTCAACAGCAGGAGATGTCATGTTGACAGCTTTATCAACATCTCTTCTAGCCCGTGAATGATTAGTCGTCACGCTTTCATCTCTCTTGATCTCAAAATTAAAGAACTTCTGTGCATTCCAATCCAACAAACGATTTTTAACATCAGCATTTGATGCAACATCAGATTCATCCACAGATCTATTCTTCTTCAACGATGCATTAGCAGTCTGATTGCAAGCATGTCTTCTTGGTCGGCCATTGTTATTCGTATTGGCTACATCATGGGAATCCACTGACATCTCCATGTTATTATGCATATCACCAATGACAGTTTCATCTCTCTTTATCTCAAAGTTGAAGAACTTGGGCGAGTTCCAATCCAACACGCGATCCTCAACATCCTCATCTAGGGATTCATCTGAATGGATATCTCTTTTCTTCTGCGTGTTATATTCGGAAACTGTCTCATCACGTTTTATCTCAAAATTGAAAAACTTCGGCGTATTTATATCTAGGAGACGGTTTTTCACCTCTTTGCTGGAAGCTTTGGAACCTAAACTATCATTTTCGTTCAACTCTTCGTTATTTTCATCATCATATTCCGAATTCTGGTAATAAACCTTCTCCAAAGACTCCTGAGACAATGCATCATCATCAATCATTGATAGTTTGGCTTCTGATGAGCTAGCTTCTGCATCTTTCATCACAAAAGGTTGCTCATTGTTAGCATTGACACCTTTCTGATGGCTTTTGAGCTTTTTGTCAGTCACTACTTCAGTTACTGCTGTTGATTTGTTAACTTTCTGACGCTGATGGCGATTCCAATGATGACAGATGATCTTCCTTCGCTTCTTAGATCTCAGTGTTGTTGATGTTGTGGTAGTAGAGGGTTGATGAGTTGGATAATATTCCACTGAAATGCTGGTTGTCGTGTCACTTGATGGCGTGGTTTCGTCAACTTTCGGCGCATGGCTGCTTGATGAAGCAGCTGATTCATCAGCACTGCTATCGGTTTGCTCGTAACATCCCTTTAACTTACAGGAAACACTGTCAGAACTGGTGCCAGCTGCTCCCTCATCTTCATTACCACTGTCATTGTCGTCTTTTTTTTGATCTCCTGGCACTGATGGATCATTTTTCGGTGCAATTGTAGACGTTTGCTGATCTCCAATAGCTTGAGTATCATCATCTCCGCATTCTTCTCCGCTTTCGCATGATGAATCTTCTTGGTCTTTAGCCGAATTGTCATTATTCAGAGTAGCGTTGTTAGTCTTCTCGCTCTCGGATGATTTAAGTTTCTCTGGCTGCGTGAGGTTCCCATTTTCTGATGAAGTTAAATTAATCTGCTCGATAGAAGAGTCTTTTTTACCTAGGGCAGCACTTTCTTGGGTGTTATTGACATTCTCCTGGGTCACTAAGTTCATTTCTTTCGGAAAACTAGAATTGTTTTGAGTTCCAGAAGATTCAATGATCATTCCTGTAGTTAATGATTCTGATGTTGATGTAGCTAATGTTGATATCACTGACACCAATGTTGATCTTGATGATGCTAATGGTGACGTTGCTGATAATTCTAAGGTTGATGTAACTGATGATGTTGCCAATGTTGATGATTCTGCTGCTGCTGATGCTAATGTTGATGATTTTTCTTCAATCAAACCAATCGGCGTAGTACTTTCCAATGATCCGATTTCAAGATTAGCATCACAACCGTTTTTATAGTTATTCAGAAACTGTTGTATCAATCCTACAGTAGTGTTATCAATGCTATCACAATGAGCTAGGGTTTTCAGACCCATTTTCAAGCAAATCCGTGGTCTAGTGCATCGGATGTCAATGTCAGTGTTCAAAGAGTCTTTTAAATGATCCTTGACTTGGTTTATAGTCTCCATGAATTTGTTATAAGCTGGAATGACACGTAAATTATTGAAAGCATTGAACAGTTCCAGTAGTTGTCCTAGATTGTCAACCGAATGACTGTGATGCCAAAAAAGAGCATGGGTGTATAAAGCGCTAGCTATGTCAGTCATGAAATCTAACTCTTGAATCTGCATCAGGATGTCCAGCAACAACTGGTCCGGAGATGTCTGCTGGTATTTATTAACTTTCAAGAAGTCTCTCAAAATATTCTGCTCCTCCATTTGGCCCCTCAAATAATCCCGAGCGTCAATGACATCAGCATCTAAAGTATCATTCGGCAAAACCAGTTCAAACAGATATTTGAGGTTGATTGATTTATTTCCATAAACAAAAGCAAGTAATTCAATTTTCTCATCAACTTCTGTCGGTTTGGTGTATATATGTTGACTCAGGTAATTCGCGTAACCCTGGGCTGCTTCTGATACATAAGCTAACAAATTACTCTTCACCAATAAATTCACAGAATCGTATTTTTTGAAGCCCTTCTTAGGATCTCTCTTTACTTCACTAGTAAATTGAAGGAACAAGTCCTGCAAAACATGTCTCTCAGCCGTCTGAATGTTATGATCTAGATTGTCATACTGAACATTCAGCAATAGACCTAAAAATAATCCAGATGTCGCTTTAATCTCGTCTATCTTTAGATACTTCATCACCATAGTTGCCGAAAATCGGTTGGAATTCGATCTAGATCCTCTCAAAGACTGATGTATCTTCCGAGCAATACCAAAACCTGTCGTATTCGATATGTTATCATGAAAATCATTACTTCCAATTGCTATGTTCATACAAATAACTGAATATTTTTTCAAACACATGAAAATATGAGACTGCATGTATCTACAGATTGATGCAGGACTGAGGTCGCCATGTTTAAAAATCTCTGGAAGAAGGTTAAATATGTTATACTTTCGTTCTAAAATTTGCAAATGTATTTTCTGCAGTGCTTCAATTTCAGAAACACTCAACTCTTGATAATGATTGTAAATCAGTTGACCAAAATTGTTCGTTATTTCATTCCGAAGTAGTGCTCCGTATATCAAGAGATACTCGATGCCATCTTGGAATGAAAAACTTGTGTTACCAACTGCTTTTGAGTCCAAAATCGTCAGTGTTTCGGTTACAATTTTGACATTGTCTTGCACTAAGTTCCGTTGTGGTGGCACACTGTTGTAATAAATCCCATAATTGATGACCTTGAGAAGACGATTTTGAGGTTATTAATTGTGAGCAAAAAAAAAATGGCGGTAAAAAATAATTTATTACTCACTTCAGCATGATTGAAACTGATGAGAAGTAGAAAAGAAGGTAAAATACATTTAATAAACACAGTAAACATATTTTATTTTGAATAGTTATGTTGGCTAGAAACTTCTCAATATGAACATTACTGTAAATTTATATTCAATCCTGACGGCTGGTGCCATAAACAAGATTTTATATGTTGTATGAGTTAACTCTTAAATAGAATCGAAATACGTGTTATGATAGGGAATCGTAAACTATAACGAGCTAACGGAGATTAATAAATAATTAATAGCTTTCCATGGATGATGTGATTGTTCAATATCGTAGATACCTTGTCGTACACTAATTGTTAGAAACATTAAATTAATAAAATAGCTATTGCCACATTCTGATTGGAGTATTAGGATTAATTTTAATCTAAATCGAGTTAAAAATCACTTCAAGAATTATAAAATTAGACACCTACTGTTTTTTATTATTTTTTTTACGAAATAGAAACTTGAAAATAGACAACATTCTTCAAAGACATTACAGAATCTTGCAATGATCGTACTCAAGAACTACAGATGCATCTGCAGTATCTACAGATTTAAATTACAAGACATCTAGATACAATATAATCTTTCTAGATAAAATGAGATAAAAAAATATCTCATTTAATCCTAATTGATATCTAATTAGATGTAATTCTTTTTGAAAAGTCTAGATAAAAGAAGATATAAATTCATTTTACTTGATATCTACTTAGATATAATTTTATCTAGAAAGAATCTATTGATTAGAATATTTTTATCTTCATTTCAGATCTTTACAGATGACTGATCTGTTGCCTTTATCTCAAAATGATGAGCATAATGATCTTCAAGTATAAACTTTTATGTTCAACAGTCAATTAATTGATTGTCAGCAATCCACATCATAGATAAAGATCAAAATAATCTAAAAGATACAAATCAAAACCCTGTTTTGTAGAAAAATATTCAGTCGACTTCCAAATGTCTCGAAACCTTTCTATAATTTATTTTGACTGTTTCTATGACGTTATTAGTTTTAATAGGACATAAAAGTGATTAATAGTTTGATTGAAAAACATCATACTGATTGCCTTTGAGCTCTCAATGTTTTAATGGACCACGATAACCTTGACTCTTTTGATAAAGAAAAGATATCTTCAACTTGCAAACTATTTTTATTCCACCTGTCAATTAAGTAAAAACAATATTTTAACATTACTATAAGTAGTAGAAAAAGATTAATAATAAAACATATCATGAATTTCATTCATTCGATACTTGGAAATAATTACCGGAAAATATTTTATGAACTTATCAATGATCAAGATGAGGATGATGTTGACTTGACCAAGCCAATACGAGTGGTTAAATTCGATAGGAAACCAAGTACTTACTATCACATTGCAGAGACTCCAAATTGCTCGGAGGCTGTTTCATTTGGTCTGCCTCACAATCGAAAATGGTTCCTGTACCGCAGTCGAAAGGACCAATCAACTTTCTACTACAAAAAAGCTGAAATAGCATCAGTCTTAAGAGTACTACTCTTCGACATGTGTGGTCTGTATGTAAAAAATATTGAAGAATTTATTAATGATTTTGAGAACAAAAACCCACCGTATTCTAACGAATCATTCAAGAATTTTTATAAAAGACTAGTGAAATTACCTTGGTTTGATGAAGTAAGTCTTCACAGGCTGACTGTTGATGTTGATGGAAAATATTATAAATTAAAAAATATCAATAATGAATTTAATAATGATGTAAATACCTTTGTTAGACCTAAAGTTGAGGTGGAATGTGAAAGAAGTTTTCACAGTTTTCTAAATGATCACCTCACTTTGTACCTCTTTTGTCGTTACTTGCAACAATTACTTGGTCCAGGAGTACCTCGCATCATCCAGATACCAATACAAGAAGTATTTCGAGATATAAAACTGAGTTTTGATTTTTACAAATATGTACATAAAAACAGAAGTTATTTATTTCTTGATGTTTGCCCTACGGTGCATGATTTTTTGGTATTCCAAGATTTCTTTAAACATTGTAATAATATTAATTCAAATAATCATCGTAATTAAGTACAATTCTTACTAGTAAAATTACCAAAAAATTATTTTTATCATTTACGGTACAAATTTTATCAAATGATTTTATTTTTTCGAGTAAAAATCGAATACACTAAAAGTTTTTACATAATAGGGTGAAAAAAGAATATAAACAGGGCTAATTGTTCGGGCTACGCATGCGCAAAAATCGATTTTCTTTCTATGACATTCGTGCGCATGCGCACCCGTAATTGTCAGCCCTACTTTTATTCTATCCTACGGTGTAAAGGTCTTGAAAGTCTGATGGCTGTGTAGTGTAGCGTACAGAAGAGAAATAAGACTAAATAAAAACATTTATTTACATTGTTTACATGGCAGTATCAATAGATAAATTATTTATACATAAACACGCAATAAAAAAACTTAATATTAACATATGGGACGGTATTTAAAAAAACCATGTTAATTGTTATCCATACGTAGCTGATTTCGTGTCTAATTAAACTCAGATAATTTCACTTTTTCAAATCTAGTTTTTTTTTTACTTAAATTCCATTTTAATTGTAATGATTTAAAAAATAATAGGAAGCTTTAATTGAAAAGATGTAATTATCCGTGTTTATTTCAACACTTGAAGTTGATCAAGAGAAATGTATAATAACGAATGCCATTAATTATAAATTAATTTCAATAAAAAAAATTTAAAAAATTGTCATGATCAGGTTTGTGATTGAAAAAAAAATCTTGTACTTTTTCTAGTCAGTCCACGATTAATTTCTTAATTAATATACATACAGTTATCATAATTGATTGATTAAAAAAATAATTCAATTAAATAGAATATATAATATATAATGATTAAAAGGCACTCTTAAGCATGAAAATAAATTGTATTTCCATTTAATTAATATTTAATTAATAACTTTACTTATTGATGTAATGATTACTTGAGTCAGTACTTATTAATGTAATATTATTATTTTTGTTGACTATTAAATTAATATATAATTAATTAACTCCTTCTTATTATTACTCAGTTAATTTATAGTAATATCAATATTTAAATTACTTTACTCCAATTAATATTTACATATCCATATCTAAAAACTGGCCGCAGATAATTTACTATCAGCATCTATCGGTAACAAAGAATTATTCTCAACCTGTCGATAGTTATGGATTGTTATGGTTAATAATAACAATAATAAATATGACGTAGGATGATTAATAATTAATGATTAGCATGATTTTACTAGTAATTATAAAAGCTCTTTATAAAAATTAATTACTCCATATTATTATTATTAATAATACCATCTTTATATTACCATATTCATTTGTTATTTATATATAATATATATTTTCTCAATTGTTTATGATTCATTTTATTTTTATAATTAATTTATTCATTAACTATCATCTTTCATTCCGTTTATATTTAAGTTCAAAATCAGCATTTCAATTTCGAACATTCTCTCTTACCGATCGTTGGTAACGTGTATAAGTTTTTGATTTTTTCAATTTTATTGCTGACGGTTTCTTTTTTTTCTTCAATTTTGGTGACACCTCACAGCTACATCCACTTCTTACACGAATAAAGTCAAGTTTCCAAGGTGAATCGGCACCGAGAGTTGGAAAATGGTGATGGTTTTTGTGACGATGTCTGTGATGTTCGAAATATGTTTCTGAATCCTAAAAAAAATATTGAGCTTTGTCACACTGTTTATTGTATGATAAAGTAGGTACTATTATTATCGATCATTAAAAATGCCTTATTATCTGAGTCGATAAATCAGTTTTAATGGCAAATGTCAGGATTATCGACAGTCGATAAATTAAATTCTTTTTTTCGATACTACTTACTACTATTATCGATTGAATCAATCTTTAAACATTTACTAACTCTCTTTTTATCGTATTCAGAATTCACAAACAATTTCTGATCAACTGGAAGTAGTTGAAATTTTTTTTAAACTGCATTATTTTCTCCTTTATTTGCTCGTAAAAGTTTTGTGTTGAATCTAATAAGAAATTTGAGTAAAATATTTACCGCAAACTTTGCATCCCTGATGAGTGCATAAGAGTATGAGTATTTTTGAACACATCTTGATTGATTAGCAAGTTTTCTATCAATAAACCTGCAAGGTTTATTCTCCACAGTATCATTACAAGATATCTCATAAAAACTCTGAATGTTTTCAGCATCTCGGTAGAGCTCAACGTACAAGCCTTGACGATTTCTACCGCCTGTAGGTTGAATAACTTCCACTGTAGATGGACAGCAGTCCACGGGATTTCCACTTTCACCTCCCTCACGACGTAACATCTCTTGGATATCTTTGTAATACGATTGTTTGTGCTCTTCTAGCATGAATGATCTACAAAAAATTGAAATAAATTTTTTTATTCAATTAAATTGATCAATATCTGATGTAGATATATTTTTATAGTAAAGAATGAAGAATTACCCGTTGGATAAAGCCGGTTCACGTTGAATCTCTCGATGAATGCGATTGATTGTGACGTTGTTGGCACTTGCAAACGGTTGCCACAGAAATGCGGTTAGCCAAACCACCTGGAATGAAAGATATATTTAATAATAAATTTAAATAAAGAGTTAGTTTGAACAAATATTATTTTACATGAATTTGACTTTTATTAAAAATCAAATTCTGCTAAACATGAAATATTGTCAATTCCTAAATCACATTTACTACTGTTTATTAAAGATCTACTTAATAAATCTCTATTTGAATTTGCTCTACGCATTATCATTTAAAGATCTCAGTTCAAATTGATGAACATAAATAAGCTGGTTGTTAAAATCATCTTGACTCTGTTAGAGAGATTAGACATATAATAACATTTGTACAAAAATACGAATTATGTGACTATAATGCAGTTAGATCTATTTCTCTCTCAATAAACGAGTGTCCAGTCTATAAAATTCTTAGAAGCCTAAATTTTTCTCTAGTGTTGATGCCTAATCAGATACTTACAATCTATTTTACTGCGTTATGGGCTATTTACCTTCTGATGGTTCAGATCAATGCTCTAGCATTAATGGGTTTAATTACTTTTTAATTGATTATAGTGCTTGAATAGGTCCTTAACGTCGCTTAATGGCCCATGAAAGTTCTAACGGTTATATTACGGTTAATACAGATAAAAAGAAATATTTAGAAAAGTCTAGGCAATGAATTTTATGCAACTTCGATATTTAAGGCCTCCACACAATTGGATAGAAGAAAGAATGAGAGCTAAGTATTAGGACTGCGCATGCGCACAAATCAATTCTTTTGCATTGTGATGCTCCTGCGCATGCGTAGTCCTCATTCTTAGCTCTTAATGACGTTCAATTTTTTGAAGGTTATACATAAGATTTTCCTATACTCAATGTCAATGTTGATATCACGATTATTTAAAAGCAAATTAATGTTGAGAATGAATTATAAATTCATAATTGTTACAATTTGTGCAAAATATTAAAAGTGTAGTGCAAAAAGTGTGTGAAGAATGAAAAAAAATAAGATAAGTAGAATTAATTGAAGTATAAAATATACGTAAGAAAAGCGAAACGAAAGAGCATATAAACTATTACTATAAAACATCATAGCAAGCATGAGTGTAGCGTGACTAACACCCTGGTTTATTACGCGTGTGATCTTTACGCAAAAGGTTATTAAATGTCATTCCACCCTTGTCATATATGTAAATGCATAGAAATTCTAAGCTGATAAATCAGGGTTTTATAGTCTAGATTTCTAGCATAAAATGCACATTTCAAATAAAGAAATTTTTCAACTGTAATAAAGTTAATTATAACCATCGTATATTTATGAGACAGAAAACAGTATGGCTTCAAGTAAATATAACTTTGGTAATAAATGATTTTGATTAGAATATTTTACTTTTCACATCATTCATGTTTTTATTGAAATGTTTCTCAAAAAATTTTTAAGAAAAAAACTTTTAATATTTAACTGTCATCAATGTAATTGTGATGCTGTTGTTGCAATATTTTATTCAAATATTCTTTGGCAGTGATCGATTGTATTTATTATACTGTACTTTTATTTTATTAAAAATTTACAAAAATAAACCGGGCACTGAAGGTACCCAGTTCGAATCTACTAAAGGTCGATATTAAATAAAAGCGTTAGTTATTGATGTGATGAGTCTTTTACCAACAATGAAAATCAACTTTTTATAAAATAAACAAAAATTTGACTTTATCAGTTTATTTATCCTTCCGTCATTAACGATGCACCCGGTGAAGTTACCCCATAGTTTACTCTAATCACCGTACAAGTACGTATCGATGTCATAAAACTTGTTATTTCGGATTGATACATCAGTTAAAAACATTTTCTCTTATTAAAAAGTGTTTTAAATGATTTTTAATCATGAAGATTCTACAGTTCTTCTACATGTTTTCTTCATTCATTTTGGCATCTTCAGTGACTGATTTTCGCCAACAAATTTCGCCTGATTCGTATGTTTTCAATAATTTGGTAAGTACAGAGTGTTTTTTAAATCTAAGAATGACTTGGATCACTTATTCTCAGTAATTTTTTTGACTTTTTTGAAAGTTGACGAATTTAAGTTTCGAAAGTAAGTGATACTGGAAAGAAATATTTCATCAAACTTTCTATACCATGAACATCTACTATGTATGTTATAGATGCAGATTTTAACATCATGTAAGAATAATCACGAAAAAATAACAATTTTTATGAATACCGCATTCAGCATTCATCTAAAATGGCTGTCAAATATCTACACACACTCTCCTATACCAGTACGATTACATGATGTATCTGATTTTGTAAAACACAAACAACTGTTTACCATATCAAAAACTGAAGCCGTTGTGTATATTATGAGTTTACAAGAACTCGATCTTGAATTTCTGATATACTTTATGAAAAACGATGTAATTAACAGATCTGTGGCATTTTTTATCGTAAATCCGTCTTCAAATGGTTGCAAATTAGTTGGACCAGTGTTGATGCTAGTATCAATGGTGTTTTTTCGTTCAGCGTATTTTCTGTGTCTGGATAATAACAATAAAACCCAGATCTATACATACAATAATTTAACTTATCGCATACCAGACAAATGGAAGCTGATAAAAGAGGAACATTACAAAGGAAACAGTCTGCGGATTTATGGAAGATTCTATGAAGAAGGTAAGTTCAAATGTTTTCCAATCTTTTGTAATTAAGTATTATACTTTGTTTTAATATGCCGAATTTTTTCAGAAGAGATTTGCAAAAATTTGTATTTCGATCGAACAAAATTCCTAGACAGATACAACGTTACAATTGGAGTGCATATGAAAGAAAAAATCCCTATCGGAAACTATTATAACTACACTACTATACGCTCAAATTATAGAAATTTTTTGGAATATTGGACATTCATTATGATTGACCCTCTTGCGAATTTTTTAAATAAATCAATGATTTTACTCAATCTTCCACCCACGAAAAATACGACTTTAGGATACTTGAATGAACTGATTGAAAGACATAAACCAGAGCTTATAGTGTCAGAAACAAGAATGCACAATACTTACTTAAATACTGCTCATTATACATATCCTATAGCATGGAGTGAACGAAAAATAATAACATATAACTGGGGCTACCAATCGCCTATTGAGAAGATTTGTAATTTCTATGGCATTTGGACATTACTGTTTACACTGTTTGTACTCACACTAGTCTTCATAGTCATCTGGCATTCGGAAGGAAAGAGACCTGCCTTTATATTATTTGAGATAATTCGGCTGCTCATTGGTCAGGGTCTCTACACACGGATGCACAGTCTCCCAATGAGATGCTTTTTCGGGATTATTCTCATTTATTTCTTAGTGATTCAAGCTACCTTCAATGGCAATCTGGCCAAGTTCTTGACCAAACCTGAATTAAAAAAAACATGTTGAATCCTGGGAGGATTTACAGAATGTGGATCCAAATACCATTTTTTACCCAGAAGACGTTCTGTCACGCAAAGCAAATCGCGTATTGATTAATAGTACATACAATTGCGCAAATTATATCCTGCACAATGATTCTTCAGCTGTTTGTTTAAGCGATCACTATACGGCATTAAAAGTAGTATGGAACAATAAAAATTTACACTTAAGTAAAAAACATATTATCACTGAATACTTCCAAGACAAGTCTGCAAACGTAATGCCAATTCATGAGCGTATATACAAATTTTATATTTGGTATGTCGATCTTGGGTTTGCACCATTACTTCCACGAAGATTGGATTTTCGAATTCAATTGACGATTAGTAAATCATCTAAAGTTCAATATTATGATGGATTTGATCCTTTATCAGTAAATCATTTGACATTTGGTTTTGTTTTTCTTGCAATAGGTCTAGTCATTGCGTCGATATGTTTTTGTATCGAAATTGTTCATGCAAAAAAGATGCTAAAACCGAAAAACAAACCTCGTAATTGTAAAATCACAAAACGTTTTTTCCTGTCAAAAGTCTTACGGAATTGTAAAATCAAAAAGCGATGTTACCTATTGAAACTTTTACGAAAATAAATTTTTAAAAAGCTCAATAGACTCTCGATAAGTGTACACAATTGCAACAACAACTACTTTCTTCCATTTTAAATCAATTGAAATACATATGAAAGAATCAAATTCGGAAAGGAAGGAAGAGATGAGAGGAAGTATAAGTAGCAGAGTTAGAGGAGAAATTGGAAATCGAGAAGACTTATGGAGGAAATAAAAAACAGCTTTCGAGAGAACGAAATTTATTAATAATGTAATTTATAGTTATGTTGTATTAGTTCTCTGTTATGATATTTCCAAAATATTAAAATTCATATGTTAATGAAGAAAAGAAATCATAATAAAATTGTTTAAAACATAATTTGCACAAGACTACTTTGTGATCTCTTCCTTAGAAAGCATGCATTAAATAAACTTTACTATCCCTAAATAACATATTCCAATGAAGCAGTAAAAACATAATGGATCTAATTTATTATCAAAAAAATATTATTAAAGTATATCAATAAATACATGAATTTATTATTTTAGTGCACATTCATTGAAAATAGCACTCATAAAGTCAGAAATAATTTTCAACTATTCTTAACAGTTTCAATCTAAAAATAAAAATTTTTTTTTTCATTATTATTGCTTCCTAGTAACTTATTGCACTGATAATATTTACTTAGCCATTCTCCATATAACTCTTTCATGTCACATTTAATGTCTATGATGATCATGATAAAGTTTCATGTTTAGCCTTATTTACATTTATATAAAAAAAAAAAAGTAATGGAATGTATCGAGTAGTTATATTAGTTGAAGAACAAAAACAAGCGATGAAAGATCCTCATAGTCATGGTCAGACAATTATAGTGTTACCAAGTAGCACACAAATTACAACCGCAGGCTGTTTAGACAGCGGATTGCTTGTCGCATATTATGATTGACGTGTACAAACATTTACTTAGTCACCTCAAAATGTTTCTTTTTTTTTTTCGTTTATTTAAATCTACTGTTACGTTTCAGAAATGTAGAATTTTTTATTTCCTCTCATTTCATTGCATTCATTTTTCAAGGAATTTTATTTCTCAAAATAAAAAAGCAATCTTTTTTTTTTTGATTCACTCGAATAAACACAAACACGTTTCCTGTGATATAAAACGGTACTGTCTTAATATCAAAATAAATTCTCAGATATAGATCCTAATTAGATAAAACCTCATATCCAGATGCCAGACTTGATTCGTTACGCTTCTCAAAATTCTTACTACTTTCACGAGTTGTAAGACTATTTTAATTGTCACATTCTCTTTACACCGTGGCGCCACTGAGTGTCTCCAGTCATCTTTTTTTTTCTGCATTTACTTTATCATAATATTTCATTTTATTCATAGACATTGAATGCTAAATAAACTTTTATGTCAATCTAAAGCCTTCTTAATATCAACAGGAGTGGCTTTTACTAGGAATTCTTTAGAAAATACTTTAGAAAAATTGAAATACCGTGATTGTTGGAGAAATAAGCCTTACATTGAATTTATTATAAATGAAAGGTAATAGTAAAGTTGAGAAAATTTATTCATTTTATCGAAAAATTACTTTTTAATAGCATATTTCATCCCTAGGGAGAAAAAATGAATTTTCAGCACTAAGGGAGAAAAGTACTACATTCCTAAATCAAAATTATCTATGCATCCTCTCATAGTTTGAATATTTTTCCGACATAATTTTGCCAGAAGTACCTCTATATCTTATTTTTGAGGTTAAAATAGTGAGATAAAAATATTTTTGAACTGACATGCGCAGTGTGCGTCACGAAGTCTAATATTGAAAAAAAAGGCATAAATTAAAAAACAATTGAAAAAAGATGATGATTTAACCTCATAATGTCAATTAAAGATGTTAAATATTCTTGATAAATCTGTTCAGTTGAAAAAAAAACCATAATGCTAATTGAGGGAAAAGAAAAAAAAGTTTTAAAAACCAGAAATAATCAGCATTGAAACAGAGTATAAGATTGAACGGAAGCAATTGATTCTACTCGAGCAAAGTTGACGACAAGTCACACTTATCGTAAAGTATCTTCTCCGCATACCAGTGTTATCTACATAAAATTACGTGACGACGTTTAACAAGAAGGTATATATACCTGACGATATTGATGAATGATAATGATCACATCCATCTCGATTATGTGTATAATTTAATAATAGCAACTTGGGAACGAGGTAAAACGATCCAGGGCTAACTATCTATTTATTATATGTACATATATTCTCTTGTTAAATATCAAATCGTACCCTTTCTTTTTTTTTCTTTGCCTCCATCGATTGACTCTAAGCAGTCTTTATATTTAATATGCTAATCGCTGTACTCATAAAGTATTTTTGTCAGATTGGATAATCGTTTTAAAGAGCATAGTAGTTATAATCATGGGAATTTTATTTATTTATTTTTGCCTATTAAAACAAATTGATTTATTCTTATAAATATTATAATCAAAAATAATTCTTATTAATTTGATATTAAATTTATACCAACATATAGGTACTGAAATACCACCGATGAATAATATAGAAGCTTTTCTTGTTTTTTCTCGAAAAGGTAGAGCTTTCGGAGTAAAAATTTTTTGAGGAATAGCAGAGCTTTTGAGGTATCAATTGATATTGTACAACTTGTGGGGTAAAATAGCTAATTTAACGTAAAAAAAAGCTTCTGGAGTAAAAAAATCATTCATTACAAAATTCAAATTTAAGCTTTCGAGGAAAAAAAATTTCGGAGTAAAAATATTCTGGGGATCTGAGGTGATGCTTTTGGGGTAAAATTATTTTATTTTATCAGATGTAGATAAAGGCTTTCGGGGTAAAAAAAAATCAATTTCAAGTGCAAAAAGAGCTTTTGGGATATATGTATATATGAACAAGATATAAATAAAGCCTTCCATAAAAAAATTAAATTTGATAAACTCGGTCGATAATTAAATTATCTAAATGTTTCAAAATGGAGTAAAAAAGATAATATGTGGTAAAAACTCACCGCGATGAGGGCGCAAAAAGCTTCAATTCGCATAGTAGCTGGCCGGGCCAGCAATCAGGCCGTAGAATTTAATTCTCCAGTTGGATCGCGTTCACTTGTCGATCTCAACTCAGGTATTTCCCCTTCAATTACCGCACTGCACCCTTGATCCTTAATCACACTCTCGGCAAATGTGGGTATAAGGAAGTAAGGATAATATTAAAACACCTGTTCCCACGATCTTCTAAATACAATTGCGTTGACTCCGCTACCTCTTCTCGTGATCCAGAGTCTACTTTACCTGGCATGGCTGGTGCAATCTGTAACATTTTTTTTTTTTACACACTAGTGAAAAAATCTCAACATTACTGAATTTACACTAGTGAAAAAATCTCAACATTACTGAATAATCAATTTTTAGGTCAAATTTGGAAATAAAAATATTTTAGAATACTTTTAAGTAATCTAATTATTTTTCTTTGAATGTTTTAATGAAATATAATTGAAAAAATTCTTATTTACATAAATAATGTAAATTAGTAGAAAATGTGTAGGAAAAGAGTTTGATGAAATTCTAAATACTCAATAAATAGTTTTACGGACATTATCCAATCCTCTTTATGTTAATTATACATCGGTATAAGTTGGTAGACTGTGCCTATGAGATTATTCATAACTCGTTGATAATTTCAATGAAATCATCGATTGGTCCATGTAAAACGCCTCTCACTTAAAGCTACACGCCTCTCTCCACTATTTTTATCTACCTACTATTCAGCCTATTATTCATACACTTTCATCCACACCAACTTCAATTTTCCTTGTACATAAAAAAAATGATAATTTTATAAAAAAAAATTTACCTTCTTTTTACAACTTAAACATGGATTTAATCAGTACTTAACATTCTTAGGTAAGATTTTATCATTAATTATCAGTGAAATCATTTTTAATTAATTTATCAATACATTGATTCGATTAAAAAATAATTATAATTATATTATCTGATATAATCGCGATGAGATAATCAGTCTACTTGAGAAATTATTTATTTATTATCAATCTTACATTGTAAAGCAATTCACTGATAATCTAGGAATTTTAATTTATTTTTTTATATTTCTATAAATAAACTATTCTAGTTCTTCCACAAAAAATGACTATAAAATTTTTTAGCATGAATTAAACTAGTTAAATCGATGGGGTAAGTAAATTGGAGAAAAAATCGATTTATCAAATAATCGATATTTATCTATCGATTTCGGTTTATTTCATTAATCGTATTTATATAATTATAGAAAAAAAATAAACTTTCTCAAATCTCGTATTTTTTGATTAATCGATCGATTTAAAAATCGATTGTACGACAATCGACTACCATGTCATCGATTATATGATTTTAACATATTATCAAAATTTAAAATATAAAATTTCGTTAATAATGAATCAAATACATCACTTTGCGGCAGTTTATTGCAAAGAGAAAGAGTGGGGGTAATGCTAAGCAGCAAAGGGTCTTGTGCAGTATACCTGGGATCCAGAGCCTCGGCGCATGTTAGACAGGTAAGTAGTTGGCGCATGCGCAAAAGATTTAGAGATACTAAAATTTTTTTTGTTGTAGTTAATTGGTGATTTATTGTCACATTTATTGTGCTATGTTCTGAAAGGTATAAATCATAGTAGTTAACTATAATGAGACATCAAATTTTACAGCTTAATCTACACAGCCTCAATGGAATAAGAAAAAAAAATGTGTTGACTTCATGTATGAGACTTTAACAAGCGACTGGGAATAATATTTGAGTTTTACGTAGTTAAAAATTCGATAAGAATCAGATGAAATAATTTTAAAGACTTCGTTAAAGCTTAGAAAGAAATCAATAAATTCACAATTAAAGATTGAATGCTGTGAAAAAAATTTGATGAATAAACTTAGCATTTGTATGACAAGAATAATTGGTTACAGCTGCAATTAGAACTGTAAAGAGCAATAATTCATAATAAGTACGTAATAAGAAAGGATAAAAATTATTTTATGACTCGGACGACGTAGCAGATATAACGTGGTCAGTATTACGTAGGCGTTCAGAAGCTCTAGCTGGTACATAAGTCATTGATGATTACCATGTTTCAAGCATTTACGATTTACTTTAACCCTGTTAGTTCTGCTTTACACCGACGTCGTGGGCGTTTACATCTTGACATGGATAAAATGGCGTTAGTGTAATATTGTTGTTGCCATAACTTTCACTTTATAATATTATTTTCTAATAGGATAATTGGAAGGACCACATGTAATTTAGACCAACTGTATCGTGTAATTTTATTCCAGTAGGTAAGCTGAGAGTTGGATCCAACATGCTCTTTCACTTCTATCCATCTTTTAGATTTACATTAAATTATATTCCATTTATATTTTACTTCAAAATTTTACTATTTAAATGTTTTCATTATTTTTTCGTTTGCACATGCGCAAACCTATGTTAAGCTAAAAAAAGTTTATTTCGCATGCGCAATCAAAAGTTTAACTAAAAATGATCTATTGCGCATGCGTAAACGAATGTACAGCTCTATAATATTAGCTTTATATATTAAAGACGTTCCTAAGGGTGTTGACAAAGGAATAATACAGAAAAAACAATTTTTTCTATTCTTAAGATTTTTATAATCTCATAACACATCTTGTGGTTTAGCTCTGTCTCCAAAAGATATTATTACAATACTTTTTTCTCACTTTGTATCTTTATTTTTTTCTGTGGTTTGATGATTTACTCGACCACAATGTCAGTCGACAGAGTTTCAACAATTGGTCTCAACAAGCAAACTTAACCACACTTAACATCTCTCAGTTTCCACATAACTCACTCGATACATCAAAGCCAAGTAATCTCTCACTTTAATTTATGAGATTAATTAGATTGTGAGGGTAAAAAATGTAACAACTTAAATTAAGTGATTTATCTGCTACAGTGTTAAACAAACACTATGTAAAAACATCAAAATATACTGAAGCTCTAGAAAAATAAATCATTAATGAATTTTATTTTATTTTGGTGTGTAATTCTTTAGAAATTGAAAAATAAATTTGGTTTTATTTGAAACTCATTCAACAAGACCATGAATGAGCCGGTTTTACCTGGACTATCAATATACATGCTACATCTTACAACATAAGGACCACCGTTGTCGTTTCGACCTTACATGACTGGAGATCGTGAACTGAAGACGAGGTTTCATTAATTAAATCACTTCTATTTTTTCTCCTTCTTTTAACTCACCATCTTAAACTCTATCTTAATTTCATCATATTTGCATACTTTGCAATAAATCTTTTCAACAAATTAACAGAAATTTCAATTAAATCTTTTATGAATAAATAACTAAATATATTTTGACTTCGAAGTTACTTTAGTCCAGGAATTATTGATCAATTTAATAAATGAAATAGGGTGGAGATAAAAGTGGACCCATTAAAAATATTTCTGACGAAGTTTTTTGGCCCTATCAGGCCCAATTTATTTGGTAACACTCTTTGCATGTTACAGTGGTTAATAGAGATGTACATCGTTAAAATTAGAATGATGTTATATTTATGAATAACAATTAGTATGGTCTAGAGGGCGCGACCTGTAATTTCTCATTATAAATAAGAAATTTTTGACAATAATTGATATCAGTTTTTTTTAGAATAACTCGAAAACGGCTGGACCGATTTTAATGAAATTTTTTTCACATTAACTTGATATTAATACGTATAGAATGTCGGTTGATTGAAGTCGATAGCTTAATTCATTCGCGACTTATCGTTAAGCAAAAATTTGTCACACACACCAAATGCGTTTTTTAGTGTTTATGATGAACAAAAAATGGCTGTAATTTGAAATATGGGAGTAATTGGTATACTCTGTTGAGTTAAACGGTAAATTTGAACATTAATTAGATAATAGATTTTTGTTTCTTAAAATAATTATCGAATAAAATAAATCAGTGGCAACTAGATAGCATAAAACATCAAAAAAATGGCGATAAACAGTTGCAGTAGTTGTATTTACCTCTAGTCTTCAAAGCAATTTCCTTTGACAAATGATAGAACGACAGCATGATCTGATTGCACGATTAATGTTTGTTAGACACAAGTAGTATATTCTGACAAATAGTTTTACAGTTGATATACGACAGCTTAGCACTCATTTGCATTTCTCATAATGGCTTTGACACTTATTGACTATCATCCCTTTTTAGCTATCGAGTGCAAAAAGCATTCGATTGGTCTCGCATGTGCGATGCCTATGTCGTGATAATCGTAATAACCATGAGACCGATATCTTTTCTTGAAAATTAATGAGAAAATTTGTATTCAACGTTTCACGGTATGTCTGACATACTGCGGATTGCAATGAGATCACAATCTGAATGTCACCGTCCATATATCTGTGCAACCAGTGACTTTAAATCTGCATAAATACGGATTTCCGCTATAATCCATAATATCTGATTGGCATTAGCAATCAGCGTATGTTACTCTTTTTATTGCTTGTTTGAAATCAAATCAAAGTTGCAGATAAGACCTCAAAAAAAATTTCGAAATCTTATGGAGATCGATTTAATTCAACTTATCAACATTAAGACTATTACAGAGATTATTTTCAATGTTTCAATAAATTTGTTTGAAATAAAAACACTTTTTCTTTTAGAGGTTATTCGAGGAAGGGCGCCATCTTAACATTTACATCTATATGTATTTGTTTCAAATTTTTTTTTAGGATTAATTGCATGAGAATATTAATAATGGAATAATTTTTTATCTTTGGTTAGAGTAATGAAGCTTGAAATGATCACATTACCGCACGCCGTGAGGTAATATTGTCACGAAAGTTTTTCCGTAGAAATGACATGATTGAAAATGTTTTTTCTATTATGAAATTAATTTTGCATTCCTGTCGCGATGCTCTGTGACTATCTGATTAATCAAATTACGCCAGAAAGCTATTAACTTTTTATTTATTACGAGTACTGAAATTAAAATCAACTTCTGGACAAGGTATATTAATACTTGCACTGAAACAAAATACCATGCGATAAATTTCAGATAAATCATTTGAACAAATAAATACGATTCATTTCCAAGTGATTTTGTGTAATATTCTATCAAAACAATGAAAGAAAACTATTTTTATGTCGATTAATGAGCTAAAGAATTGTCAGATAATTGAAGAAGTAGATTGATTTATCACCGTAATTAAAATAGTTGCACAAAAGAAAACACAAAAGAAAAGTAAGTACGATTTACAATATATTGAAGACAGAATATGGAGGCGTC